GGGCTAGGATGGGCAACACGGCATTGAATGGCCCTTGCACGAAACTTGCAACATGCACCTGGTATCAGAAGCAGCGCAGCCCAGATCATCGACCTTTCACGAAGTCGAATCTAGAAGTCAGCATCGTTGCTTAGCAACATCCAAAACGGCTGCACACGTTGCACGGAACAAACAATCCTGGCAGAAGCTGTTTCATTGCGAAATGTCCTGTAAGATTTAGCATGAGATTAATCACGACCTGAACCCCTTCCGCCCAGCTCGCTTCACCATCCGCCAAAAGTGCACAGATCTTGTCGCACTCCCCTCCCGCCCCCCCAGGATTATCAGCTTTCGTCGTGCCGGGGCCTTTCGGGCCTGTTACGAGCACTCTTCGGTCGCTGCTTCAGCAAATCTCAAGACAACTGCTCAGGGACTTCGGAGCTTCCATGAGTGCAGCAAAGACCTTGAAAAACTATTTCGAAGCATCCCAGCCCCCATTCTGCCTTTTCCCAGTCAACTTATGTAAACTTGGCTCTGACTCTGTCAGAGTGAGGCTCTAGGCGGCTGGGGATCATTTGATGTACTGACACTTTGTCACTTTGCACTGCACCGGCAAGGCTTAGCCGACATGAGACAAGGAGCCGCCGCGTGTCCCTGCTGTCTTGGAGGCTCGCCTCACCGATGCCTCTGCCTCACAGTGCCTCACAGCCTACTCCGAGACTTCTCTTTTCTAGCATGGACCCGGTGTGAATGGCAAACAACTTGAGCCAGTGGGGAATTGAAGCAGCAGTTTCAGTTGGACAACGCACTTGGCCCGCGGACATGCAACTGAACAATTGCGAGCGGCGTTGTCTTTGCTGCTTCCCTGGTCTCATGGGCGGTCTGATCTTCAGTTACAGAATTACAGAATCATGAGTACCGCAGTCAGCGCTAGAGGAAGCATCGGCGCCAGAGTGTTCGCCAGCGATTTGGTCACCTGCACAGGAACGCTGTGAACTTCACAGAAGCCAGCACAACACGAAAAATTTGGAAGTGTGCATTGTCACCACACTTCGTTAAACAGTGGAGTCGTTCGGCCGCACAGAATCCTGCAGAGAATAGTGCGGCCCAAGTTGCAGTTGACGTTGTCGTCGTGTTGGTCGTTGACGTCGTGGTGGTTGAGGTGGTTGTGGACGGCTGCTCTGTGAATACGATCGTTGCAGTGTGAACTTCGATGTGCGTTACCTGAGCCCATGATGCCTACGGTAGGTCAAGAAGCCCTCAGCGCAGTGCTCATGGCCATCAGAAGTTGAAACATCAAGTGTCACTTGCACGGGATCGCTGGAAGTGGGGGGTGAGATTGAGAGAAGGCTAAGTTTAGGACAACAACAGTCATTGTAGTCGGCATTCTTGACCCTGACAGTTGCAGGGACGCATTGGTGACTGTGGTCGTCGTTGAAGTTGAAGTTGAGGCAGCCAAAGTTGTCGGAGCTGCCGTGGTGGCTGCAGCCGTAGTAGCCAAGGCAGTAGTGGCTGCTGTTGTCGCGGGCACTGTACTTGCCACCGTCACAGGATCTTGATGCGCAACTTGGCCAGCCTTGTTGTGGCAAGCCCCTGCTTGCAAGGGATAACAAGCCACTACCTACCATCTGAAGTTGCCAACTTCGGTCACTTCTTTGTCATCCCAGCTTCGATCTACAGTGGTCAGACATGAGGCTAACACAGACTAGTAGATCAGTGCTCACGATTTGTAGGATGCCTTTCTGTGAAACGTCAGGGTGCAGATTCTGTCCGAGGAGCCTGAACCAAGACCTGATTTTCTCAGGTTTGACGGAAAAGCGACTGAGGCATTTCCAAAGCCGAGGCAGGGGCCAAGGTGCTGTCGTCGTGGTGCTGCCGAATGTCAGCCATTTTGCCCTTGCCATAATGGGTTTACATGCCGCTTTCAGCCAGATCACGCATGACCTTGAAGACAAGCGCAGCCGGCCTCTGACCTGAGGAGAGAAGTTGCCGAAACCTCGGCAACCGACTGCCTCCTGCCAATCCCTGTGCACACGGCTATCACCCAGCAGAGTCCAAGGAGCGGAATTCAAGCCAGCACTATCCACCACCATTTGCATCTTCGCCTGCTCAGCTTAACAACATGTGACAACATCTAAGGCAGCTGCAAACGAGCAAAACCAAGCTTTAGGGTGGTGACACAAACAGGCTCTGAACACATTGGTGCGCGACTGAAGCCCCAGGAATCCGGATGTCCAAAAGCCGACGACCAGTTTCCGTCCGGAAGTTGAAGCACAAAAAAAAGAGAGAGAGAGAGAGAGAGAGAGAGAGAGGCAAGATCTTGCAGACAGACGCCTCTGTGAGAGGCACCTGATACGACTGAGACTGAGATTTGCAGTGGGCTGCATCGTTAGTGGCCAGTCCAGCGGACACATGCTGACACTAGGTTCAATCCAGCGCAAGGGGTCATGTGGGGTCATGTTCATGGAAAGTCTGTGCTTCAATCATGAACGTATTCAACCGCCAGCCAAGAGATCCTGGTTGAAACATGTTGAAACTAAGGAGGAAATGGCATCAAATGGCATCCGCCAGAAGAAGGGCCAGAAGAACCAAGGTTCAACAAGACATTTTCTGGGATCAACGGGCAAAGGGAAAACCAAGTTTAAGGCCTCGGGGACATGGTCGTGCCCTCGTGCGCAGCATGCCCTGGGAGGTTCTCCAGAAGTCACCCTGAGACAGCAGGCAGTCCTGCCCTTGAACGACCATGGGTGGTGGTCGGGATTCAACGCAAATGGGCCTACAGCCGGCCATGCAGTGCTACTAGTAGGGACAAATGACCTCACCTGCTGCACCTCTGACGACAAGCCTGCTAAGGACAAGAACACTGGTTCATTGGTTTGGGGGCGAGCTTTTGGATTTCGAGAGCTTGCCTGCAACCGACAAATCTGGAATCAAGATTGCACGCCAGTTGAGATTTCCCACCCTGCGGGGCTTTGAATATCTTCTCTGCCCGCGGGACCAGAAACCACATCGACCCAGTAGCTGGTTATCATCATGCGGTGTTCAAAAACGGCCTCCACCTCCGGAGAATGTCCACCGGCCCCTGCAAGCATGACATGTGGGCAACTCAAACCACGGTTCTGATTCGGAAGCTGCTGGCTGCGCGTGCGAACCAGGGCATCGACAAGTCGAGGGACTTAAGGTGGCAAGGATTCAGGGACAAGGGGTCTTTTGGAACACATGATTTTGGAACAAGGAGGCCAGAGAATAGTACACATCAAGCACCGCGCCTAGGCGTTAACACATTTAAGGCGCGTCCGTGTTCCAAAATGACGCCCTTTCTGGCCTGTGCGCAGCCCCAAGCAATGTGGTCCCCCCCCCCCCCTGCAAACACAATGCTCGCAGGATGGGGTTTGGTTCGGATTCATATGCTGTGAAGCAAGCTGGCACGGCGGTTGCTCTAACCGCCGCCTTAGCAAAACCACCGCGCCACCTAAAAAAAACTATACACACTCACACAGAGCATTTGTTCTAGCTGCTGCCTTGGAACAACCACAGCCACAGCGGTTGCTCTAGCCACCGCCTCAGACAAACCATTGCGGTTGTTCTAGCCACCGCCGCCTTAGAACACAGGTTTTCTAGCAGCCACCTTAGGATTCACCATGATTGTTCTAGCCACCGCCTTTCAAAATCCAGCGGTTGACGGCCTCAGAAAAAACAGCGGTTGTTCTACCCGGCGCCGTAGAAAAATCACTGTAGAAAAACCGGATTTTCCAGCAGCGATAGAAAACCACCTTTGAAAAAACACAGGTTTTTTCTAGCCGTCGCCTTAGAAAAACCAGCGGATGTTCAAGCCGCCTTACAAGAAAACACTGGTTTTTGTCGCTGCTGCCTTTTTTGCCTGCGGTGGGTCTAAAAAAATAACCAGCATTGGAAAAACATAGAAAACCACCTTTGAAAACCATGGGCGCCATAGGTTTTTCTAGCCGCCGCCTTAGAAAACCAGTGTTCGTTCTAGCCGCAAGAAGAAAAAGCACTGTTTTTTTCTAGCCACCGCCTTAGAAAAGCCAGCGGTGGTTCTACCCGGCAACGTAAAAAAAAAAAACACTTCCGAAGAAAAAGACATAGCAAAAACCACCTTTGAAAAACCATAGGCTTTCCCAGCCGCCCTAGAAAACCCAGCGTTCTAGCCACCGCCTTTAAAAAAAAAGAAACACAATAGAAAGACCGCCGGTTTTTCCACTGTGATGGAAAAACCACCTTGGAAAAAACCACCGTACAGGAACCAACTTAGAAAAGGTGCCTCAGAAAACCAGCTGAGAAAAGAAAGCATTAGAAAACAAACGTCGAAGGAAGAACTTGTAGCACCTCAGCCAAAAACATCAGCCGCGTTCCAACAGGACCCCTCTCCTTTTTCCGCGTTCCACATTGAACCGTTCCCGACGGTAGATCGGCGAATTTTCGCAGGTTGGGGGCTTAGAGCCATGGGCCGTGTTCGATCTCTTCTCGATACCTTGCCTTGCCACACAAAGGCAAGCACGACGATCACAGCATTACGTCGCCACATTGAACCTCAGCATCCCAAGCAGACAACACACGTTGCATAAGTGTGGTGACTGGCCATCGCATGCCATCGGCACTCGGCAGCCTGCCTCCGCGCAGTCTGATATTGAACGTTTTCACAGACCATGCTGATGGAGTGAAGAAATTGAGCCTCATTGGCTACGACGAGTTGAGTTTGATGCTCGCCGGTTGCTATAACCGGCAGAAGGTGTGCCCAAATTGTTCGGAGATGTTCGGGGTCCCCATCTGCTCCCTTATCTCCCTCCGTTTTTTTGCTGCGAATGATTGCGAATGTGTTTGTCACGGTGCCCTGCATCTTTGCAGAGCAGAAGGTGCTATAGCTGCTATGGAGGTGGAGGCATCTTGTTAAGCTTGGCACCACATTGGTTAGCCAGGGCCACCATCAAACTGAAGCCGCCGGACGTTCATTCCCAAGCTCTACACCAACTCAAGCCGGGCATGACCCAGCAACAAGCTACTCAAATGCCTTGCAGCTCGCCATTCTCCCATTCACCTTCCTGCGCCATGCCGTGTGCATCAACAAACCGACCCAAACCATGAAGCTTTCCATCGTGGAACGTTCCCTCGACGACGCTCCCATCCGGACGAACCTCCCTGCCAGAGCCTTGAGGCAAGCCTTGGACAACTTGACCTTCAAAATGGCTACCGTTCTTCAGAAGCCCTTTGCCCGTGCAGGTCCAGAGAAAGCCGTCTTCAATCTCCCCATCAAAGCCACGACCGCTTAAAGTGTCGAAGATGCGGCCATGCCCCGTGTCTGGTCGGCCATCTCGCCACTTCCCTTCAAAGACAACCTCACAGGCCTGAGGTTCTCCAAGGCTCAAGCGGCTCAGGCTATCACCGGTCGGATTGTACCGTAGAATGGCAGGACCACCGCCGTACACTTGTATGAAGAACTCCCACATTGGCTGCTCAAGAACTTGGTAGTCGTTCTGAAGACCCTCTTGCAGCCCACTTCGTAAGTTACCATCGATGTCAAAGAGGTCACTGTTGATGATGGGCGAGGGAGGTCGGTCCCTTGTCTCGACTGTTGGCCGGCCCACGCCGACAAAGCTGCGCCAAGATCGACACCATTTTGAGCTAATGATGTAGCCAAACTTTCCACCCATCCACCACAGCTGTGGCATTCGCTTTGCTAAGCTAGCCTCGATCTCTTCAACCTTTGCCAGCTCCTCTGTTCGCCGCATGTGCAAGAAAGCTCTCTGCTCAGAGGGGGTCATGCTAGCCGAGATGATACTCCACTTATCGAGCTGCAGGCGAAGGTTTGGGGCTGGTTCCAGCACACATTGTCTCGAGTGTTCTGCAACCTCGTCTGCATCTACTCGCTGTCCACATACACAGCATTTGATTCGGCTGTACTCTTCAATCTCATCTTGTGATAAGATGGGGGCCTCGTTGTCCACATCCATCTGAACGTCGACCCCGCACCACCGCGGCCCAAATTAGCCGGCTGAAGGGGTTCATGTTACATTCATGTTCGTCAAACCGGTGCCTTGAGCACATCTGCGTGAAAGCTCAGACATGGGTCATGTCATGCAACAACAGACTTCGGCATATCTTACCACGGCTCGTGTGTCCCTTTTCGTCAGTCTCACGGGCTGCAGGGCTGACAGCGGCGCGCTCAGAGCAGAAGCCTGAGCTAGATTGCTGACATGCTAGCAGCAAAGAGCAAAAAGCCGGTAGTTTGAACCAAGTCTGTCGTCGTTTCTTTGCATAACGACAAGGCAGTTGTGGACCACTTCGCGATTCCAACTGCTGCACGTGCTTACTGTGACTCTTGGCATCCTTCGTGAAAGCCCGGACCAGGGAAAACCATGGCCCGGCATAGCTACGGCGGCTTGAGGTTCCTCTGAATGTTTAGGGAAGAAAAAGTAAAGAAATTGTCAGACAACACGCGATTTCCCATGACTGTCGCTGCTCGAGTCCTGAAGGACCTCTTCATGCGTTTTATGGCCTACCGAGGCCGCCGCTGCAGCGCGCCAAGAATGACTGAAAACCATCCCAGCACCTGATCCCGAACACAGTATGCACACAGTGCACTAGTGCAACTCGGCCGATGCTGGGCTCCACCTCCAATACCTCCCGCATTTTCACGCCGAGATGCCGCATGCTGCGATTGGTTCTTCATGCTCTCCTCCAGAAGGCCGGCTTTGCGCCACCTTTGTGCGGACTGAATCTCCGACTGTCGAATGAAGTTGTTCTGGGCCCTCCTCAGCTCCCCCCAGACCACCCAATGCATTGCTACTGCATTGCCACTGCCTTGCTGGATATGGCTGGCATGGTGTACGACAGCGTACTCGTTGCATTGCCAAGTGACGCGACCAGAAGAAGCTTCCTGGCATCCTTCAAGTCTTGCCTGCAATCCGCATCACCATCAAGTAATCATAAGTAATCTGAAATCCACTATGATGTCCATGTAGACTATGTAGGTCTATGTAGACAAGAACGCGAGAACGCAGGCCCGCCTTGGTGTCTCTGCAGCAAAAGAATGCGAAACGGCATGGTCCAGTCGGCTTGCCTGGGACCTCGGCAACGGTTTCTTATATCTTGGCTATCGGCATGTGGTGATCCCCCCCCCCCTGTCAGATCCGTGTTTCTCTTTCTCTCCCTCTCCTTCTCTTGAGCCAAAAAGTTGGCTCTGTCCCCTTCCGCCACGTCGGCCAAGTGGCTCTTCCTCGCTCTCTCTCCTCTCTCCCCGCGTGTTTTGTTTCCACCATATACTCATGCCGAGGCTGCGTGAGCCGGTGGCTGGCAACCCTTAAGGCTCTTCCATCAAGTAAGCGCAAGACAATGATGCTGCGACGCGGGCATAGGATCGAAGCAGGTATGCGTGAAGCCCCGTTGCTCCTTAGACGAGACGTGGTCCACACTACTCCACACTGGTCTGACTGTCACTTTGCCAAACATGCCACGGCTCCATGCCGTACTCCGGCGTCGCGGGCATGGTACAGTGCGGCCTCGAAGTCACTTTCACCAGACCACCAGAATTCACCAGAACTAGAAAAGCCTTTTTGGCCTGTCGAAATTGCACAATGCATGCGAATGCCATGCGAGTATCTGGGCCGGGCCTATGTTCGTGATTAGCCCGGTAGAGTAGCCATGCCTCGCCTGCTGGTTCATCGAGGCAAGGTCTTTGTTGACCGCACGGTGCTTCCTTCAAAGCGCGGCAGTAAACTGAAGTAAACTGAAGTAAACTCTCTCATCTTGGATCTCTCTGATCTCTCGAAGTTACGGCTGATCGTGCCTCCCGACTGATTTCTCCATTTTACCAAGTACCGTGTGATAGTAGTCCTTAGATACTTGCATGTTCAGTCAAGACTATGTCAAGCATCAGCCTGCCACATGCCAGCCACACACACGTTAACGATGCCGCAGTGGAAGTCGTGCTGACAAGAGGCTAAAATCTGCTGCCATGTGTGCGTCTCGGGTGGGATGCTTCCAACTGGACCTTCTGGTCCAGGAACACCTGCAAATTCCGCTTCCTACTGTCCAGCTTTGCGACGTCACGTTTCTGCACCGTTTCTGCACTGATCCTGCCTTCGGGTCCAGGGTCTCCATGCGGGCCCGGTGGACCATGAGGTCCTTGAGATCCGATGGGTCCGGGCGGTCCACGGGCCGCTCCGCCAGCAGGCCCCGGGGCACCTGCAGGCCCTTCGGGCCCGGTGCTCCCACGACTTCCGCGCTGGCCAGGCTCCCCATATAGGCTGCTGACCACCACCCCAGCTTCACCACGCAGACTGGGCAGGTTAGATGCAGCCTCTTCTATGGCATGCTCATCCGACTCCCACGGCCAACCTGTGTGCTCCTCACCCGTTGACTGAGTCAGATTTTTGATGGCCTGTAGCCCGTCCGATGCATCTGCAGGCGAATACAAGATCTCATCAGCCTTGGTTTCTTCCTCGCGCGGAACATCCGCGGATTCTGTTTCCATGTCCTGCGAAACGGCGGCCACGTATACCTCCGTGGCGGTGTTGAAAGCCACCACGGCAGCTTGCCGAGCAAGTTTCTGAATATCCTTGAACTGCATACCGGCAGCCATTGCGTGGTCCGCAGCTGCTGCTGCAGCTGCTTTAGCTGAGATGGTTGCTATATCTTTGGTGGCCAATCCGGCAGCATAGGCGTAAGCTGCCGACGCCGTTGCGGCAGCTTGCGCAACTTCGTCTGACATCTTCCCAAGTGAAGATGCCTCTCCTGCTGCGAAATGACCCGCTGCCATGGCACCCGATGTCGCTGCTTGCTGATGCGACTGCCCGTGCGTTTTGCCAGCGATGGCGGCTGCATCTGCAACTGCTTGCACCTTTCCTCGCGCAGGGCCATCGTCTGTTTTCAAGGCTTTGCCGGCTGCTTGGCCCGCGCTCTCGGCAGCAATGCTGGCTGCTAGCTCTGCCCCAAGCTCCCCTGAAACTGCAGATTGGAAGGCAGCTGCTGCTGCACCAGCAGCCACCTCGCTCATCTCTTTGCCTGCGGCTGTGAGCTCATCGGCCATAATTCTGCCCGCCGCCAGCGCAGTGGCTTTTTGGCGCGACATCGTCGAGTTGGAGGTTAGAAATGCTAGGTCTGATTTCCTCACATCCAACTCAGCATTGGTCCCTCTCCCTCGCTGTGCCTGCCTGCTGGCAACAACTTTCTCAAGCATGACCCCGTGACGAGCCATCGATCTCACCCTGTCATCTCCAAAGGCCTGATGGTCATTGTAAGTTGACGCCAAATTCTGCCGCAAGCTGCCTGCGGCTGACACCTACCAGGATCTGAGCTACGGGTTTAACTTCTACGTCACAGTGAGACCGAAGCCTTGTACAGCAAAGGATCTGGCTGCTCAGCACAAGCATGCAGTATCTGTGAGTCAGCATGAACGGTTGTGCGCCTCATGTTCCAGCTGCGCTTGTTCCAGCCTGCGGGCAGTGCGCAAGAACTTTTCCAGAACACGGTGACACCAGCAACCGAATTGCCTTGCCACCTGTGTTGGGTCCCACTTCGCAGCGACGCCTGCTTGGGCAATAAACCTACGGCATCTCCTCTGTCTCGTGTTTCCGGCCGAGGGCTCGGCCGTCGGAGTGGACTTGCACTGCACCAACGGCTTCGTGACCCCAAGCTGTTCGCACCTTGTCCAGCAGCTCAGCGAACAAGGCAAAAAGTGGGTCTAGACGGGGACGTGGGAGACCAGCATAGCTGACTTCTGACTGACTGCCAGACTGTGCTCTGCCAGACTGCTAGTTTCGTTCTCATGCCAGGTGCTGCACTGCACGCTGCCGTTCAAAGACTGGAGGCTTAATGAAGTTTAGCAAGCCGAACGGACACGAAACAAGTTTAAGCCTGGAAGAAGCTTCAGCTCCCGGTCTGTGTCTGAGCCTATCAGAATCTCTCCACCCCAAATCGCTCGAAGATGGCCTATCCTGATGCTTGTCATCTTGCGTAGGCAGCTCAGGCATCGGCCAGGAACGGGACACACCAGAAATGATTTCGCATCTGTTTAACCGGACGTCTGCCCGGAAAGGTCCTGACATGCCTTGTTTGAGCCGTAGCTGCTGATGCCGGTCAGAAACATGGCACTGCGGAGAGGTTGTTCACTTTGTTCCTACTCGTTGCTAATCCCGAACATCCTACAGATTCTGCTCGCCATCTCCCAACGAGCCCGACAGAGCCCCCTCCAGAACTACATTCTGCGGCCACTTCTTGCCTTGCTGCGCGTGCTCAATTTTTTGCAGATGCTGCGAAACTGTACAAAGCGGCGCTTTCAATGGTAGCAAACGCCTGCTACCAGTGCTTGCGGCATCTTGCGGCTTATGCATCTCCAAATCTCTTTAAGGCAGCTTCCGCTTGAAGCTCTCTTCTGTGGGAGTTTACACATTCAGAAGAGCAGTACGAGTACGCAAGCCGCGTGAAAGGTTTGGATGTCAGCGGCTTTTGGCACATGTCGCACTTGGCTTGGGATGCTTCCAAGAGTTGTCTTTCCTCCTCAGCCTTGCGTTGCTTCTCTTCCTCCTCTTCCTTTGCTTTGGCCTTGTTGACCTTTTGCTTTTCCTTCTGTCGTTTTTTCTTCTCCTTGTCTTTGTCCTTCTTTCTTTGCTCAGTCTCGTCGGTTATTCCTTCAGGCACCTGTGCAGATGTCCAATCCCACGCATCTTCGTTGCTTCCCCGCCACTTTCGGAAAGCTTCCCGAGCCTGCCAAGTTGTGCACAAGTAGTAGGGCACTCGGCCCTTACTGTCGCGAGAAGTTGGATCTGCACCCTGCTCCAGTTCCTCACTGATTGCTTCGACGTCGTTGGCCCGGGCCGCTGCGTGCAATTTGGTAAAAAGGGGGTCCTCCTCCTCACAATACTTCACTGTGGGAGGTGGATCTGGTTCTGGTTCTGGTTTCGGAATCAAGGCTTGCGGCTTAGATTCTTTCGGATCAGATGCTCCAGAGCCGGTTGCTGGCCTGAATTTGGCAGTGACCAAGTCTGCAATGCCCTCCTCGCAAAAGACAACGCTTGCAGCGCGAAGATAGGCTGACTGGACAGCTTCAAAAGTTGGTTTGCCAATCATGAAAGGCAACTTGCGAACTTTTCGTGGGTCCGGCAGGAAAGGCTCTTTCTCGGTGCCAACAAGCGTTGGCCTCATTCGTTTCGAAACGGATATGAGAACCAGCTCACACTCTGCCAGGTGCGGCGCCCACTTGTCAGTCATGAGCTCTTTGATCTCTTCTGCCAGGCGTTGCTCTCCATAGCGTCGCAACGACGAGCCAACGCTCTTGACCTTCTTGCTGCTGTCACATGAACTCTGCGATCCTCCCGCTTTTGCTCGGACAGTGTACCGGTGAATGGCTTTGTGAATAATGGCCTCCTGTCCGTTGAAAATTGCCCCAGCAAAATGTCCACTGCGCAACGCGCACACAGCCCATCGGGGCGAGCGAGTCCGCAAGATTTCAGCCAGGCGCCTGTCCAAAGACACATCACTTCCTTCTGCAAGCGTCTCGGGTGGAATCAGGGCTGCACAAACCCCTAGACCGTAGATTATGGGAAGATCTGACCCAGACTGCAGGCGTCGAAGCAAGATGAGCGCTCCATCAACAATGCCCCTTGCCCAAGCTCTGCTTTCCACCCCCAAATGTCCTTCCCAAGCAACCTCGCTTTCATCACTTTCGCTTGGAGGGTCCGGTGCTGGTTCTTCCGGCTGACCAATCTGACCGTCCTTCTGCTCTCCCGCAACTTCAGCAACTTCAGCATCATTCTGGGTCGCTTGGGCCTCCGAACCTCTGACGGGAGGCTCAAAGTCAGGCACAGCTCGCGCTGACCTCGGCTCGGACGTCTTCAGCAGCTTGAGCTCTTCGGGCAACCACCTTGAAGTAAAGTCCCAAAGTGGCACAGAATAAGTGCCTGATGCTCTGTTGAAGTGTCTGCTCCGGCAGAAAACTGGGAGGCCATTCGGCGACTCATTTGATTTGCGGTCTCGGCGGGGCTTGGAGGTTTTTGCATCTCCAAGATCTTCAACATGGCCACTTGGGTCCATGTCTTCTGAGCTGTTCTACGAGTCCAGTACTGTGATTGCTAAGGAAACACAGCTCTACGGTGATGCACTGCAACCTACAATACCGCATTGCCTGATGTTGAAATATGTTGAGCTGTTTTGGGCGCCGAACCTTGGAATTTCCACTGCTCTTGGCAAGGTGCGCATCCCTAAACATCGCAAAGAAACTGAAGGCAACAAAATGCTGAGACGGGCCAAAAGCACGAGGAGTTCCCCGACATCACGTACATGCCACAAGCCTGCGTCAGCATACGCATGCATAACACATCCCGCTCAGCACGGCTTTTGCTTCAACCATGCTTCGCTTTCTTGCGTCGTTTCACATTGTCCTGCACCAGTTTGGCAATGCATGATGATGCGCGCAAAGCCCAAAATTGCATGAGCCTGCTCCATCACCTCGTGTAGTAGTGCACAGCCCATAGCTTGCACGGGCATACTTCAACAACATCTTGCTCAACCGCTTGGATTGGAACAAAGCACGACCAGCCCACATTACCCACATACATGATGCAGTCTAGTCATGCAACAGCTACCCCGTCACCTTGCTGGAGGTCATCGAGAGTGCTTGGCTTTCTTTCGCCTCGGAGATGCGCTGTCGCGCTTTTGTTCCTGTTGCAGTGCTGCTGACAAGGCCTTTAAATCCTATACTGTGCCGCCGACTGGCTGATCAGGCTTTGCATCAGAAACCTCAGGGTGAAAGCATGTGAAAACACCAGCTTGGATCACGTTTCGCACGCGTGCCACGAAGGACGGCAGCTGCTCATGTCGAGTGCCAAGCTGCTGGTACCTTCTCGCTTGGTTCCAGCCCTGATGTGCCGGGAGCGCTTGCCAACACTGTTGGCTGAGAATACCATAAATGCCATGCACTGCAAAATGCCGCAAAGACCTCCTTGAAGCACAGCCGCGGCTCCACCTTTGGAAGCGCTCCTTCGGCAATGTGGCATAGGCATGGAGACTCTGGCACGAGTTGCTGCTAGCAGCGGAGAACAAAACGAGACCGTCTAGCATTTTCTTTTTGCCTCACCATAGCTCAAACGAGTGTGGAAGTCGCCGGATAGCATCGGCACGTTCGGCATCGAGCTGCTTGTGCCATCTAGGTCTTGGAGGCTCTTGTTCAGCACTCACGAACACGTGGCAACCAAGCAGCGCAACTTTAGAAAGGCTGCAAGTGCTCCGGTGACCATAAATGAAGGCCCATGCCAGAACATTCGTGCATGGCCGGTGACGCAATCAGCTGCTGCGCCAGCCCGTGCGGACACCAGCGTCATGGTCGTCGAGCATTGTTCCTGGACATAGGGAATCACCCAAAGTGCGATTTCTGAAGCAGCGCATAGGCAACACGTCAGGGAACATTTCTGTCGGGGCAGGTTCAGGGCTCGTGGCGACCAGCATGGTGTTAACCCTCGAGACGGCGCACGCGTGCACACGCCTTTTTCTGTTTGTTTGTGGTCCATCTTGCCTCTGCCTCCAGATTGGTTGAGTCTGCAAGTCGGGTTGGGGGTTCAAAGAGTCAGGTGAGGTCCAGTCAGCCGTAGAGCCGTGCGGCGCTACCCATGTTTGTTACGAAAATCGTACCCGTCTGGTCACTGAGCACCAGCAAGACGCAGCTAATTTTTGGTCAACCTTAAATTTGGGAGCTGTAGAGGCTTGGCTGTTGGTGCGGGTGTCCTATTTTGACCAGCTAGCCATTGTCTAAGGAATGCAAGATCACCTGCTCGGTGGCTCAAGCGCTTCTCGCCATGAACGGACAGCCACCATGCTGCTTAGATTTGCCTGCTAGACAGCAATCTGCTACAAAGCTAGGCTTTCGGATACTGCCCTGCCAAAATTGCTCCGGCGACCCCATCATCTGCGCGAGGCATGCGAAGCACCAGCTGAAACCGGGGTGCTGCACTAGCAACTGTAGCAGGCAAATCTAAGCTGCACTCCACGAACAACGCTATCCTTTTCTTCATGGCAGCGATAAGTGCTTGAGCTACCGAGTAGGTAGTCTTGCAATCCGAAGACGGCCACTAGCTCTACAGCCGGCCACCCAGCATATCTAAACAGGAAGCGGCACAATCTTGTTAACGCCTCAAACTCCCTGAAATGTCTTATGCCGCATCAAGAAGTAGTTCGACCCGAAAATTGACCAAGAGTTATCCAACAGACATGCTTAAGCGGGCTAGCAGCAACTAGCAGCATGCAGTGGATGCCAAAACAACACATGCAAGTCACAGGAACTCGTCCTGACAGGCTGCAGCCTTGCCCGCGCCCTTGGACGAGTGGATGGTCAAATCTGTGGCAAGAAGCCGACTTGAAGCAGATTTCGACCAAGCTTCTTTCCGCAAGGGTGGCCGTGGTACTGGAGCTCAGGAGGCATTGCCTGGACCGTGTCGGAATCCTGTCAGAACGAACACCAGGATCACAGCTTTGCGATTCTGCGTGCGTCTTACATTGATACACACACACACACACACACACACACACACACATACAAGCACAGCTGCTCTCATGTTGCAGCATTTGATTGTATACTACACATGCTGTTACACATTCTCTTGCATGGCATGAACACATACGTATTTATACATATAGTACTGCATAGAAAAATAGACACACACACACACGCACACACGCTCTCTAGCAAGGCGAACTAAAACTGCCAGCCACATAACCTGCAAGTGCAAGCTTGTTGACAAGAGCAACTGAAGGCGGGGCGGATTCAGAATGGAGCAACCGCTCCGGCACAAGTTAGGGCAAGGGGAAGCCAAGGTGGGGGGTGTCTTCAGGCATTCGCTTGGTGGGTTTGGTGGGCTTGCCTTCCTTGGCGCCAAATTTCAGACTCATGGAATGGGCGTGTTCGGATCGTGTTCGGCAATGCTGTGGATGTGGGCGCGGGGTGGGGCTAAAGCTCCTGGTGCACCAACTGACTTTGCAGCACAGTGCCAATGAAAGATGAAATGCTCGTCGCACAAGGTCCAACAATGTTTCCAAAATGTTCCCACAACTCGTGGCCTTCATATACAAATATAAATGTAGATGTAAATATAAGTAGTTATATTTATTTATATTTTCCATTTACTTACTTATACTTAGAATTATTAATGTATTCATTTGTTTATATATATATATGTATATCTGTATATATACATGTGTGTATAAACATTCATGCATACATACAATCATACATACACTCATAAACGCACATGTATGCATGTAAGTCGGAACCTCGGCGTCGATGGCACCCAGCACGATGTGATCCTCGTGCTGCAGGCAAGATAAAGGCATGCTTCTTGGAAATTCGAAGAAAATGGCCAAGCCTGGTCTGCGAGTTCACTGCTTGCCTGGGTAGCTGGATCTGCCGATGGCCTTAGCTCCGAAAAAGTGGGCAGGATCCAGATTTGGAAGGCACTGACATAGCGTCATGGTCCAGCAAACTCTAGCAGAGGAGCAAGGCGGGGTGCAGAGCTGGAGTGAGAGGCACCAGAGTTGGCGATTTCCTCTTGCTTCGGCCGTAAAGCTTGTGCCCTTCAGGCGTGACAGGCCTTCGATGTTCAAGTGGCGGAACCCAGCAAACCGAGCGAAAGCGGCCAGCATTGCTTTGATGCTCGTGCTCGATTCGAACGGTTGCCCAAATTGCTCGACGAATGAGTTCCTGAGCTTAAGACAAAATCGGTCACCCACATGCGCAGAATTAAAATTGTCACCAAATGTCACCAAGTCTCCAGCGAGCTAATCATGAATGCAAAGCACTCGCGATTGAAACTGGAAGCTCGAACAAAGGCGTGGCAGTCAGGCAGGTAGGTCAGCAGCCATGTGGTTCGCAAAGCCACATCAAGCGCTGCCAGGATTGGGTATGTGCAACGAGGGTACAAGCAGCGACGGTTGTTGACCATCAGCCCAAAATCCACGATGAGGTCCCAAGTTGCCTGAAAGAGGCTGGGCTTATCTGGAATTTCTATGCTCCACCCCAGAAACCGCCGCCTAGGCATGCACCTGCGTGTAGTAACCGTGGCTACGCACCTTGTCAGCCTGTCTGAGGCGGCCAAGTTGCTGCGTACGATGTTGCTGCTATGTAACCTGCATCGACAAGAATGCACCATCCCTGAAAATAAGGGGTGCGTGTTCTGTACGTGCAGCTGATACTTGAGGAAACTTACCTTGAACACCACCGCGAGATGGAAGAGGAAACTAGTGAGGAAGTCCCTTCTTTCGTTCTCAGGAAGTCCTTTCTCACTCTCTCTCTGTCCCCTTCTTTCTTGGGGACATGGGGGCAAACGTCCCGGCTTCGCGCCAGCCCTGGTATTCGGGACCCCTCGGTTTTGCCTGGAGAAGGGTTTGTTGGTCGAGCTCGGCGTTCCCCCCCCCCCATCCCTTCACACAACTAACCTAGAGCTTACCTGAGGGCCCGACGACCTGGAGCCCCTGCGCTCGGCCTGCTCCTCCCTGCTCTCTCGGCAGTGGCGTGGCACGGCCCTTGGGGCCCCTGCCCCAACTACTGGTGCACTTTCTTTCTTTCTGCTTTCTTCTTTCTTTCTTTCTCTCTTTGTTTGGGGCATAGAGCGGAGCTCTGCGCCAAGGCGCGCCCCGGTCCCGCGTCCAGTCGGCTCTTGCACCGGTGGGGGGGGGGGGGGGTTTGCCCAGATATCTCCCCCAAAGTTGGTCCCGTACAGGGACCACTCAACTCCCCGATCACTACTGGTGCACTCGCTCTCTCACTCTCTCTCTCCCTCCCTCCCTCGCTCTCTACCACAACTGAGTTCTCAGCTAAGCATTCTCACGGTGTCGAACTGCATGGGCGTCAGCCCCAGTGGGAGCACATGCACGGCAGCTAGCAAGCTGACGATGACTGCCAAAGAATACTTCACACAGTTCAACAGATGCCTTACTTTGTCGCCAGTGTCATGCATCCTGCGTAAGCACTGTGCAATTCGGAAGACCAGCGGCAGCACCAGGATTAATTGAAGCGTGGCCCAAGCCAGCCCCTTGTCTTGCTTACACTGTATCCTGATGTCACGAGCATTTAAAAATTGCCAATTGCGGAAGTAGCATGACGTGTAAGCCACGTCTTTCAAGGGTCGGCCAAGAGAGGTCAGGAAGTCAGCAAAGATGTTTTCGGCAAAGCTGACTTCACCAAGCAAGGAGAAGCAAACAACGCGCAGAATCAGCCTCGAGAAGAGTTGGCGAGCGCCCCGCGACACCCACCAGGAGGTAATGGCGAGCTGCAAAAAAAGCACGCTGAATGAATAGACATGAGCCAAGGACCACCCGCGCTTGTGAATCTCTGGGTGAAGGTTGAACAGCACGGCACCGAACTTCATGTCTGCCAGGAAACAGAATGTCAGAACAATCCAAACTCCAGTTTGAACAGATGCAAAATTCAGCAGGGACATCGCTGACACGTCAAGGTCTGGAGAAATATCCAACAAAAACATGTAATTTATTTTGTACCGCTCGAAAACGCTAGCGCATCCACCAGCCAACCAAGCTGATAGGCTCATCATGAATGACAGGCGCAGAACAGGTATCGTAGCCTCAGCTTCGAGCAAAATGCCTGTGCAAAAATACACGCTCAGCAGATTATTATAGTAGACTTTGAGATATCAGCTAAGTTGCTGCCAGATCTTCAACAGAGAAGTGATCTATTTGAGGCTCCATTCCAGAGAGGACAGCCAAGACTATAAGCGCCATGGAAATCACCCCTAGAGAAAACGAAATCCTTGCCACAGCCCACAGATTCTCCGTGACGACCTTATCATGTGGAGAGTTCATTTGCAAATCGCCATCCAGACCAAGCTTGTCAGCAAACTCCCGCAGCTGAAGCTGCAAAGACGCCAGCCGGGCTTTACCAGGATTGTTGAAAGGCTCCTGCTCGATTTGTTGGAGCACTGAAGGCAATGTGTTTAGCCCGGTCTGCTTGTCGTGCTTCTTGAGAATCTTGTACACGGCAGTGTGGTTTGCATCCACGAAGTGGCCTCGACCCCGAATCCCGACCCAGGGAGGCTAGCAAAGAGTGATGGCTACCCCTGGCCTACTGGCTCAACATGTTAAAAAGAAGCACAAGTAAAGGTCGCAGCTGTAAAGGCGAAACATTGGAAGTCATGTTAAGCAACACACGAGGGCTAGGATGTCTTAAGTCTTAAGTCTTACAACCTTCCTGCTTGCTTCCAGGCTTTCCTGCTGACTTTCCACGTATGCATCCTTGGACTATCCTGGGTTTTGCTGTGTTGCTGTGCTGAGGTTTCCTGGTTTCCCCTTTGCTGCCCATTCTTGCAACCCATTTCGCAATTGTGTTTTTCCATGTTCGGCTTAATTATTCTTTGCGGCGAACGCATCAAACAAGGATCTCGAGTCAACTCATTAACTCATGACCCCTGCTTGCAAAGTCCCGTAAACGTAGGGCCAGTCCCGAGTCACTGCGAATGTCGAAGTGGTCTCAAAAGAAGGTAGACTAAACGATGGATCTTCAACTGATCTTCGAGGGGTAAATGCGGGGTCTAGGGTGTTGAAAATTCCTGAACTTTGAAACCCCATGCTTGACTGCCCAGGGCACGCAGGTCGAGGAGTTTGCTCTGCAATTGCCGTGTCATACTCTGTAAGTGCACCCGCAGCTGCGGCTCGTGATCGCTGCCAATGGAGTGTTTCAAATCATCCCGCCCTGCAGACAGTCGTGCCTCCGCTTCGTCGGCCACTGATGTAAAGAAATCGTTTACACGATCAATAGAGGCCTTGAGTTCTGCAAACCAATCGTCGCTGACTTGGCACTGGTTCGACTGGTTCGAGACACGTGGCGACCCTTCACTGGAAGAGGCACCGTCCTTGGCTGGACCTGGCCGCCTCTCGCCGTAAGCCCCGTAGTGGTCTTTCAGGGATCGCTTTAGCCCGCTGTAGTCTATGTAGAGGGCTTCCCAACCGCGAACCTTGTGTTTTTCCAGCTGCTTGCCAAACTTCATTGATGCCTTTGGACCAATGACCAACTTAAACAGCTTGAGCACAAAACGTGCCGGCATTGCGCCCGCATGCCACACCGGAACATGCATGCCGCACCTATCGACAACTCACACATTCTTCGGATCCTCTTCCTCTTCTTTGGAGGCGAGCTCAGTGTGCCTGATTCCTGACTCTTGGAAAACCTCGGCTGGGCTTTGTCGTCTACAGAACGGTCGGTGGCCAAAGGCTTGGGAGAAAAAACCAATGTCATTGAACGTTCAAATTCCTGTGCCCTGCCTGGGCCTAGGCGCTAGGCGCAAGTCACCTTCATCAAGACCCCGACACGCGTCCAGCCAAGAGACTGAACACCAAGTTCCATGTCCGCGTCATTCTCAGCCATGCTTGGTGCTTGCGTCGCCGTCCAGGGCAGCGTTCGCTTTTGGAAACCACCTTCACATTAAACCCCAACCAATTGTGACTTCGTTTCAAGACAGGGGGGACATTACAAGGCAGCGCTCAGGTGGGAGCATACGCCATCTTGACGGTTGGCTTTCCACACCATTCGCGCAGCCTGTTGCTGGACCAAGGGCGTTAACTGCACCTGGCATCTCACCGAACGATTGTGGCACCGATTGCACATCCAGATTCTCCCCACGCAACAGCGAGGCTGCCTGCAAGGACTCGTTCTTGACGAACCATTCATCCGGCAGAGATTGCCCTGCGCTGCAGCTGTGCAAGAGCCACCCATGTTTCCACAGCACTTTGCGCCACAACATCCTCTGCTGCTTTCCAACTATGATACATCATGTAGGTTCACGTCAAGAGTTTGCTGCTGAATGTGGGTTGGATTGACCGGTTGCTGTTGTGAAGGCGCTTGGAGGTCTATGGGCTTAAGCAATGCAGGATACGCGCAGGCGATTAGAGATTTTGAAGAGACGGAGGTTGAAATAACTGTCCAGGTTGGTCCATGCAGAACAGAGGAGCGGCCATCACATGCCGTTTGAAGTCATCAGCCGGACTTGTGTCAGCTTCGAGTATTGCGCTAAGCATGGGGAACCGCAGCGCAAGAGTTCTAAAGAGTTGGGGCACCATCCATCAATGGTAATTGTTGTCATCCAAAAGCACACCAGTACTGAATGACTACAAATGCAAGCCGCAGGCCTGGCCTGGCAACAGGAGCCTACTTTCACATTCACGGGATCTGCGGCTCTGCGATTATTTAAGGCAAGCTGTTCCTTGGGCAATCTTGGGCTCATATCCGACCTTGCAAAATTCTCGCCCTTCCTTCTCACATGCAGGTTTTAAGGGCCTAAAACATGATCATCACAGAGGTGAGATGAGATGAAGCGGGTGAATACCGAGGCCACTGCTCATTTCACGGAAGAGCTGCTTCTTAGACCGGCCATCGGTCTGACTGGATGTGTCCAAGTATACCTGGTAGTAGGCGTGCATCTTCTCCTCAGGAGGAAACTCAAAGTCGTGCAGAATCGGACGACCCGCAGCAAAGCGAGCATCCTTAAGTTCTTGCCATCTCCAAGCACCCTCAGGATGTGATGCCCACAGAAACTCCTGCGAGTCGCACATGGCTTCCAAGGAGCAAGGGGAGCAAGGCAGCGCTCCTGTGCAACAAACTTCCAACTTCGCCACCGACTACGCCGGCTGGGGTCTGGATCTCCGACATCCTGCAAGCAGACTGCAAGCAGAATGCAAGCACATGCCAATGGCACACGCAAACAAAGCAGATGCAGCGGTTTCTTCTTTGTGCGCCTTTTAGCAACAATGTGGCGCACGATCATTTTCGAAGCTTCAGTCCACCAACAGAAACTACTGTGAACGGAAGGGCCCCAGTTTCGACTCGCGCGCTCGCAGCGATACAGCTTTCGCTTACCATAGAGATTTCGAAAGAAGTTACAAACCGAGAGGCGGGTTGTAGAGTGGAGGTGCCCAGGACCTCGAAAACAACGTTTTGGAGTTAGGCTAGGCTAGGCTACAAGCTGATAGGGGCGCAGTGGACTGGACTGGAGCGGAGTCGGGCGTAGTCCTTGAATCAGCCATGCTGAAGACATGACTCGGTCGGCTCCGGCCGAACTGGATACGTTCATCGTTTACCATCGGTTGACAGTTCCACCATGACCCTGTCAGGGCGCCTATCGAAGTTGAGATTTTCATCGTGCTGCTGCCTTCTGCGTCGGCGGATAATTGTACATTCTGCTTCCCATCTCGCGACTATCGCGGGTGGATACCATGAAGTACGAAAGAATGTGAAGCTTGTCCGCCTTCATTGAAGAAGGGTTACATCATCGTAGCCATTTCAACGCGGGGGAGAGGGAATCGGACGGCCAGTCAGAGACCCGTCCAGCCTGATCCTCACGTATCCTCATCTCGCTCTCCACGAGGCAGATTGTTTTTGGACGGATATGACGGATTGCCACCTACAATCCCCAATGCCTCAACGACCGCACGACTTCGTCAACCACGGCAGCGATGCCCCCCGTGACCTCGTCGGCGTCTAATTAAGATAAACATATTAATGCCGCGGCTGGCATGCATCAGCCGGACGGAATGTGTTATGGGAGATGCTGTCAGCACCGATCACAGGCGCTGAGGTGCATGTTCTTCCCGAAGTGGACTTAGAGGACTTGAGTCGAACGAAAGAGACCACCAATTGACTCGAGCAAAAGAAAGCTTCAATCGTAGACTCTTCACGTGCAGCAGCTGAAGGATGAGACATCGCGACGCCCATCGCGATGCTGCAATGACTGATGTCATTTGCATGAGTTTTGCATGACAAGGTGGTCCTGCTATTCGGACCTACCTGTCAAGCCCATGGAAACCTTCACACTTGTAACATTGTAAACTGGCCTTGCAAGTCAGCTTTGGAATGTCGGCTAGCTTGGCAGTTGCGACCTGACAGAGTCCCTAGACAGTTCCATCCTTTTCGCAAAGAACAAGATGAAGGCGGCTAAGTTGCTTCAGTCAGCATGTTCGCCACCTCCTCCTCTATGACTCTAAGAAACTGCCGCAACTCCACATCTCCGAACTGCGACTTCGGCGGCTACGGCGGCTACGGCGGCTACGGCGGCTACGGCTCCTCAGTGGAGCGACGCTCCGCAGCAGCAACTGCCTGTGCAAGGCGGCAGAAGTTGGCAGAGTTGACCGAGTGCTTCAGCGGTCCCCGCCTCTTGTCGTGCTTGCGCCACTGACTGCCACATCCTCACCGCATCCGTGAAAAAAGCCTTTCTGACCACATCCCCTCAACACATACAAAATGTACAGAAGCATGAATAAGCGGAGATGCATCTCCACATCGTCCGGCCCCTGAAGGCAACAATGCAGACCAGCGGGGCGCCGCCGTGCTGAGTTGTGGTGACATGTTAGCTTTGAGCGGCTCATTTTCTTGGCTTGGACTCTGTAGCTTCTGCCAACATTCCACGTGCAAAGTCTGCCCACCTCAAGGCGGTCGCCAAGATGCTCCTTGACGAACTTGTGGAATGCTTTTTCTGTTTGAGGCGCCTTCCACGCAAGATGCTTTGCAATGGTCACAGATGCAGCAAAGTGGAACCTTAAGCCCAGGTTAAATCTTTGCTAGAAAATTTCGTTCAAGTTCGGGCAGTTGAACAAATTCATGGCTTATGGACGCACGCTGCGCCAATCTGGCACCTGCTCAAATTCGAAGAGGTGGTGCAACAGCGATTTAACATGTGGGCTCGCAATCCGCTTTGCAGCTCGAACGATGTCGTGCCAGGCCTCATGCAATGATGCAAGAATAGGCTACAGCAAACACTTGCCGTGACGTGCGCATCCATGGGCTGAGTTTTGCTTCACCGCCTGCTTGTCCACAAGCACATGGTGATGTTTGCACCACTCGAGCCATTGCAACCAGTATGGATCCTGCAAGCAATGGCACACAATGGCTTGCATGACCTGTTCGTCTAGAGCATGCCAAACTATCCAATAGCATGGCACACGAATAAATGGATAGTCCAACACTGCGCAAGGAGGTTGTTTATTCTTCTTCGGGGTGATTTCCTCTGGGGTTCGTGATTTGTTTGGCCTCTGAAGCGCGGCGTGCATTTCGGGTCGAAATCAGGCTCTCGCCTAGCCCTAGGCCTCGCGAGTCTCGCGTTCATAGCAAAACATAGCAAAACCTGGCATAAAACCCAGTCCAGCACTTGCTGCAAAGGACGGGCTCTTCGACAGATTTGCCTTTCCGGCTCGCGGCAGGGTTCTTTGCAGGATTTTCTGGGTGTGGGTGCAGTGGTACTCTGCGGCTTTTTTGCTGGATTCTCCGCAGGAGTCTCGGGGCTTCTTTGCAGGATTCTCTGCGGGGCCCGGGCACTGCAATGATACTCTGCGTTCTTTGTTGATAATTGCTCTAGCTGTGTGGGTTCTATAAAGGCTTTGGAGAGGCGTGCCTCAATGAAGCACAGTATCCAGCTACGTAGTGCAGTCGCCCTGCCATGCAACCTGCCGTAGCCGATCCTTCTGCAAGGTGATGCCGTGGCCGACAACCACCAGACCTCTTCGGGCGCCTGATTCACGGCATGGTGGTGGAATGGTGGCACAATGGCTCGGGACAGAGGTTCTGACGAGTCAGCATGACATTCAGGCGTCGCCAATCCGCAAGGAAGCCCACACGCCCAGCAGCATTATTCCTGACAACGTGTTGGTTTATTGCAAGCCCTCTTCCTGCCACAGCCAACAGAAAAAAAACAACTCCTCACGGCAGAGAAGACGATCAATTCCTTCTCGCGACCCTGGAAGTTGTCGACGCCTGTCAGTTCGTAGAAACGAGAACTCTTCCAGGCACGGATTCTGAATCCGCTTTGTAGCTTCGGCGATCTTTGTGCGGGCGAGGAGCTGGCAATCTCGAGCGTTCCTGCACACCCATTTGGGAATCCATGTGGTCCCATGTGGTCCATGTGGCTCATGTCACGACATCTCACGACATCTCACGTGTCAGCCAAGGCTCTCGAGTTCTTCGACGTATTCCACTTCATGCCCCTCTCCTTTGGGAGCACCACATCACACATCTGCACGGCTGCTGCACCAGCTGGAAACGGACAGCACATGCTTTGCATCGACATTGTCCTTGCAGCGGTTCCTCCATGAAGTCCTCAGAAGCCTGACCTGCATACGCTCTTTTTCGTCTGCACTACGTTACGTGCATTTTGTCGTTGCAAACTTGAACTCTCGAGTTACGAAGGCAGCCTGCGCCATGTACGGGGTCACCACGCCCAACTCCTCAGCCGTGCAGCCAGCATCGAGCACCGACCTGGAAGAACATTCAAAGAACAAGAACCTTCTGAGGTAGCAGGGGCTGGAAAAGGCTTCTCTTTATGCCAATGTCGTTTGATGGTATGCTTCCTTGGTTCGTTTTGGCGAGGCCGCTGCTGTGGAGAGATGCCACTTTCTACGCAGGAAACTTGGGCAAGTCGAGCTCACATGTGTCATCAGCGCACGGAACACATGGTTGAAAAATCTTGCAATGCATGCATTGTCCAAGCTGCTCAATGATGTGGACGACTTTCTCTGCTTCGAACACATTCATCTTGGACTCGTTCTCATGGGTCTCGCCTGTTGCTGCTGCGATTACTCTGCGGGAAGTCTGTCAGTCTGTGCAGCGCTCGACACGTACGTGATGCATACAGGACCCACGGCTGCGATACATACACGTCCCATCACTCCATGATTGCCGAGGTACGTGCTGATCGCCCCATCTCAACGAATGCCACAGGCACCTCGTCACCACACAAGCCCCATGAGCCGCATTGGCCACTTACTGGCCGCCTTCTTCCTCGGCCAGTCAAAGCCTTTGATTGGAGGACGGGCAGTGGCAGGTATGCCACCTGGCCAGGCGCATGCATGCCGCTGGAAAATTTGAAAAGTCAAAGCCGAGTGTAAGCAGCCGACTCTTCAGCCGCCCTTGATATATAGCGCCGGCAACCCACTCGACGAGCTTGGGGTGGGAACGAAACTGTGTGTCCAAGAAGTATGGCTCTAGCCCCTCCTGCGCAAGAGCACATCACAAAGATGATCAAAGCAAGCGATTCAGCAAAACCTTGAAAAAAGTCCTGCACCAATCGCCCATACAGGGACAGGGTCAGTCCTGGAAGATGCTGCCGAGCGTGGACATGACGTAACATTTTGTAACATGGCACAGCGGCATAAGAAACACTCCTTGCCTCTGCGCTCTGCCTGGCAACAAGGCAGAAAAGGGGCATGATGCTGCACAATTTGTCACAAGTCTCAACAAGCCTGAAACTGCCAACGTCTCCCCGTGCTGAGCCTCCTGAGATTGGACCGTCGGTGGAAGCTGGCCTAGCACTGACAGGCATGTTCAACGGATGTTGCCCCGCAATGCTCCACACAAACTGGCAATGCGAACACGGGGCAGTGGTCCCCTGCCAGCACGACACGTTCGCAACGCCGCTGAACCTTGGGGGACGGTTTGAATGATGGTGTTCATGATTCATGTCTGATGGTCCCTTTGGTTTCTTTAGAGACTCTGCGAGACTGCTTGATATGGGCTCGCAGGCGCATGTGTTCGATGTCGACAACTGGCCAGGTTGCATGCGGTTGCATGCGTGTTTCATGCGTTCCACAACAAATTTCGGAAGCTGTAAGCCCAGCAGCAAGTAGGCAAAGGGCTCCAAAGCAACACAGGCAACATTTACCAGAACGAGCTCATCTGGCCCAAGCCAAGGGACAATGGAGAACTTTGAAACAGACAAGCACTCGATAAAGAAGACAGCGCTTCCCGCCCGCCATATCAAACCCGCCTCAGGCATCTACACGCCTAGCTGCTTCTCTCGCAGCACACGGTCCAAACACATGGCGCGCATTGTCCTGCAGGTTCGAGCACCAGGTAAGAAACCCTTTGCATTCTTAAGAAACGGCAGCATCCACAGTTGTCGACCTGTCCACTACTCTGGCCGCATTTGGAGATGCCTGGAGTTCTGCATCCATATGCTTCAAGCTCAGTGTCACCAGGAAGACGTACCATGTGCAATTGTTCTTCCCAGCATAGTTGGCCGATTTGGCAGCTGTTGGGGCCACCTATGATAGCTGAGTTGTGACTTGCAGGGCTTCGCAATCCATCATCTTGAGGCTGGTGCAGAAACCGGATGCAGTGAGAGCGTCTGTGTCGATTGTCTGGCTTGTTGCCCTCCATGGCACCCACTGACAGTGCTTTTCATGTTCCAGGTTGCAGCTCTCATCGCATGTGTTGAACTGGTCTCATCGAATGTTTTTAATCGCATTAAGCGCTTAACGATTACGCTTGCTGAGGTCTGGCGCCTGCTCTTCCATGGACCAGCCTGGCTAGCAGCCTCGCCTACCTGCATGGCTCAGCACCATCCTCAGACCTGTTTCCCTACACATGCCGATGTGGGGCCAGACTTGCCTCACGCAACACCGTGAGACTTGCACAAGACTCAAGTGTAGTACCAACAGTGAGCTCACCCCCTGTATGGCACGGCACAAGGCCGTGCCATCTTGGACATGTGGCATTTGGTTGAGCACAGATTCCGATGCGTGAGCTAGGCCATCTTGCAAGGCAGCTGTCCCTCTTTAGACGCTGCCAATTTTTTTCCTGCTCGGCTTGCCTTTGGTAAGACACAACTGGCTTGTGGGGTGAATGCTCCTCATCATCATCCCGTCTTTGAGACGGTGCTTCCCGACTGCTGAGTGGTTTGCTGACTCCACTTGGCGGAAGACCGTGGTTCGTCAAACTTTGCCGAGAAAGGCCCGTATAGCTTTGATTCTCAAGTCAGGTTAGTCAACGACCGGAGCTTGACCACGCTCACTCTGAACTTCCAAGTCTTGATTGGATTACTGCTGCAGACCAGGCGCAATGGGAACGATGGACACGATTTCTGTAGCTTGTGCCTTAGCACGATACGGTTTGCAACACCCGGGTGCTCTTTGCTGTCGCCACATCAACAGATAGCCCAAAGTGCGAGACCCACCAGCACATCTCGGCACATCCCCCTTGAATGATGCCGGTCAAGCCGGTTTGCGAAATGGAAGACGCACACCTAGTTCTACTTGTGCGACTCGGTAAAGATGTTGCACCGGCCTCCTAGGATTCCCAGCCCAACCTGCTGTGGAGTGACTCTCCATAAAATGGCAAGTTCTGCTTTGCAGGGGTCAGACTCATGCAAAGGGGATGAACCCACGACTTGCGCCATGCGACATGACTGGTCGCAATCTGTGAGGCTCGCAATAATCGTACCATATGAGCTTTTGAGGAACGGATGTGAAGCAGTGTGTGGCAAGGGAAGGCGTGGATACTTACTGCCGGGGTTGCTCTGGTGGACCGTCTAGCTGATCGTGATCTCCTAATACCATTCCCCGGCAGCCAGCTCTGGTCGGACCCTAAACTAAACAGGCCCTCGTCGCCACAGCAACTAGGCATACCAAAAGCCGTCGCACAGTCTGCAGCCTTGACATTCTGAAACTCCCTCGGCGCCTAGGTAAATATTTCCATAATCGACTATTTCCAGAATCATGAACGGCAAGCGGCAATGCTGTTTGGTAATCGGGGGAGGTGGTGGGTTGTAAAAATAGATGGGCAACCATATGGTAAAATCACTGCAGTCAACACATCACTGGAGGACGTCTGAGCTCTCCAAGTTGCGATTTCATCAATAAGGATTCCTTTGAAAGGGCCAAGCCTGAGCGCAATTCCCTCCTGGTCTGGGTCACATGCGAGATCACCCAAATGCACTTCCCTTGCCAGAAAGGAGCTTTGCAAGCAGGCCGCCTCCTGCGGTAATTAGCCTGAGATTTGCCCAACTCCACTAGTCGCCGTGAAGCCGACAGTCAAGATTGACGATCGGTAGGCTTGCAAACTTTCCGGTTTTAACAACAGACGTAGCATGCCTGAGTGCAAGAAAGGGGCTGTGCACAAAGCACATCTGCCCCGCGAAGTGCCTCAACACATGCCCCCATGAATCCCTTGCCAAACGAGGACACGCAGCGGAAGACTATTGAAATAACATGACAATGCAAAGCGCGATGCTCTTGTTGTTTGATAGGTTGTGATGGCCTCGAGTTGCATCTCTGCCTCTTCCCTCCTCATCTGAACTCGCTTCTGTCGCTCTTGATGTTGGACTTCTGCTTCAGTTCCTTTGCATGTGAACATGTGTGAACTACTCAGACTGGCATACTTAAGAGAAGCATGGCATTGCGATGCACTGTGCTTGTGTGCAACTAGCTGCGTGCTTCCAGGCTTGCTGCCACAGCCGCATCAGCTTTGGCAGCCTCAAGTGCGTCAAGATGCCAGGCCCCCCGGGCGCTGCACTGCACCCGCAAAGCCGCAAAGCTACGAGACGGAGCATGACCGATGACCGATGATGACAGATGATGTGTTGCAGTTCGTATTGCCTCTGCGCTTCTGATGGATTCCAACACAAGATCTAGCACGCTCGCTGCTGGCATGTTCGCCCCTCCTGCGCGGCACAATAGGGCACAATAGGGCACAACAGGGCACAACAGGGCACAACAGGGCATCCGCAGGATCCGTGGAGCTCTGGCGAGCCTGAAGCTTCCCCAGACTTCTGCAGTTCGTCTTTCGCCTGGCAAACCCCTCAACCTCTGTACTTGGGTACATGCAGGCGATGCATTTGTTCGAGGTACCATTACTGAATACGTACAGTTTCGTAAAATCGGCAAAATCACGCGCGGAGTCCAAGCGCGGCTTTGAGGAAGCTTGCTTGTACACGCAGTGTGAGCTAACAGTGGGCGTGTCCCTGTTGCTAGCACTGAACCTAGCCGCTGCGACGAGATGTTGGCAGGGTTTGCAGTTGGATGTTTTGAGCTCCGACAAGCTGAGCCGAGATATGCCAGAGAAAGCAGGGTGTGCATCGTCGGCGTCATCATTCCATAGTCGCCATTCCACAAAGTCACTGAATCTGAAAAAGGCTCTCAGATGCCGCATTCTGCCCGAACGATTTCGCGGAGTTTCTCACATCTCTTACAGGTGAGAGGGCCAGACACGCTTTCATCACATTGATCTAGGGATCTCTTGAACCTCGGGGAACTTCACTGGCTCTGGACGAGGTCGCCAGGCCCGGGCGGTTCAAATCTGCAGAGGACATTTCGCAAGAGCCGAAGGTTGTCTGGCCTCAAGGCTGCTGCACCCAATACCTGCACGATTTGTTGAGCAAAACAACACTACAATCCAATTGCGACGCCTCTGCACTACACAACTACACATCCACAAACTAAGGCCATCACTCGCATTGAGATCTGCTGCCTGCAGTCAATGACTTGCTAGGTAGCTGCGCTTCAACCATTGCCACGAAGCACCCAAACATTTTCCAAACGAAACTGGTCCTTGTTCTTGAGATCTCGAAGCGTCATCTGCTCCAAAGCCGATACTGCAGTTGCTCGCTCTTCGGCTTCTTGTTGCTCCTGCCAAGGATTCCGGAAGAGGCCCAAAAGTGGACCAAAAATGAAGTGGCGGTGCCCTACCTCACAGAACATGTCCTTCTTGTGCTGCTTCATGCGCCGAAGCTGGTTGTCCAGCGTTATATCTTCCAATTCAGGTCGGACCTTCTCCGGCCGACCGACGCGAAGCGTTTTCACATCTACCTCAATGCAGGGGCTCTCTGTCAGACCAAGCTATGCAATGTAGGGACGTCAACTTTGAAGAGAGGGCACACCCTGCTTTGCGAGTCCAGCCTCAGCTATGGGGACAAGGGGTGGGCACCCGAAAACTCGCACAAAACATACAGTCTGGACGCCGCGATGTTGTCAACGGCTATGTTGCCATCGGCCACAGCCAGCAGAGGCTTCAAGCCCAACATCGCCCAGGAGCGCAGAATCTGCACAGCTGTGGCTGTCTTGCCTGACAGGGCATGTTTGCCGTCTTCCTTCCTTTGCAGGGACCACTGGTTCACCAATGATTGTTGGCGGTAACTCTATGTACTGCTCACACTGCGACATACTGCGACCAAACCGGGTCTAAGGGGGATCTTGGAAACACCCTCCCCCAAGGCTGTCGATGGGTAAGGTGGCTCAAGCCGAAGAAGAAAATCATGACACATCGTGACGAAAACTGGAATGTTTTCCCCCAGCTGCTGCAGGCCTGTGCCCGGAGGGCCTTGGATGACGGTGAGGCGCCTTTTGCAAGATGCAGCCACGGCCCGCTGTTGGGAGTCTGTGCAAGCAGCCGCCATGTTGTCAACACACCTTGCCATCACCCCTGGATCACACACCATCTCCTCGGCAGCTAGGGCAGCAACACCGCTTGTCTGCGAGTGAGTTTCCTTGGATTTGGCATCTACCTTCTGCACGTTGGAAAGGCGTATGGCTTTGATAGAACCATCAAGCTGCACATTGATCCGCGGCTCGTGGCTCTCGTCCATATGCCCACTTGCGTGCTGGATGCTTCCATTCACACACACGACTTCGCCTTGTTGATTGTTGAGTGCCTCAGACTGCAGCCCATGTAGCGTAACAACATCTCCGGGCTTGAGGTCAAACTCTGCTGCCACGTCCAGATCGGATACCTGTTTCTTCGTGTGCTCGCCTTGTTCGCCTTGTTCGCCTTGTCTGCCTTCCGCATTCACAGCTTCCATGGCTGGGCGCTGCTCCGTGATTTCTGCAGTTGTGGCATCATTCGTGTTCTGCCCTTTCTGGTTGTTGCATACACGCGAAGCCCAATAGTCCGCCTGGCCAACCTTTCCAGCATTGATGATCTCAAAAATCTTGGAGCAGTCCTCACTCACGCGGGCACCGTCAACAAATCCCGTGCACAAAGACACCAGGGAATCCAGCTGCCTAGCGTAGCTTAGCCTATTGCTACCTTTGTCAACTCGCCAACGATGTTGTTTGCAGTCTTTCGGTGCCTCCACACTGTCGAAAGATAACAATGCCCACTTCTCCGTCAAATCCTGGAGCTGCCCTTCTGCAAACCTGTCTTGGAGCGGATGTGTTGTTGAAAGAATAATGCTGTCACCCTTCCGGAATCGCAGCCTGTCAATGTCAGTATTGGGCGGCAGCCAAAGCGACAATTGGAAACCAGCAGTCTTTCCCTTTCCTGCAGACTTTCCTTTCCCCTTTGCTTGCCGCTCAAACACGTCACGAACACGCAGGCCAGTCAATGCCCAACCACCTCGTTCCAAGTCTTCCCCAGAACGTCTCGAAGCGCGGCGCCGTAGAGTAGCTACCTCTTGAAGGTATTCTAAATGCAACAAAGAACAGAAGTGACCAAAATATCGCGCACAGTGGTCTCCTTGGGGTGAGACGACGTGTCCCTGTAAGCTGCACAAATCAAGCCGCTGCAATGCCTCGATCCCGAGCCGTTCCTGGTCAACAAATCCACCGGGATCCACCTCAAACGATTTGTGGCCAACTGGTTTCAGCTGCCAGCCTGCCCCTGGCGGCAGCTCGCAGCTGTCCTTGCACATGCCAACCAAACTCTTGCCACCCATCTGGCTGCCCAGCCACCAACCACTTTCAACAGGAGCCGGTCGGCGTCGCTTCTTTTTGGACGCTGCACCCGTGTCTTGGGCATCATCTTCTGCATTCTCGTCATCGCCACAGTATTGCCAAAAGAAACATAATAGTCTGGTTTCTGCCGATGCTGCCCGTAGCCTTTTCTCATACGTCGGCCGATGGTGCTGGCTTACATGATCAAAGTCCCGCGTGCGCTTAAAAACTCCATTCAGCTCTGGCCAACAAACACAGCCCCTGAAAATAATCTCTTCTGGCCATTCCTTCCCGACTTCATCTATGTCCTCCAATTCATCATCTTTGTCCTCTTCGTTCTTCGGGTTCTCATTCTGATCTTTCTCCTGCGGCACTGTCATGTGACATGTGAAGGCATGGGCACCGAGGAGCCCAGTTTTCGCGAACGTAAGCAAGGCTTGATAGGTCACGTCTACATGCTTCCATCCAAGACATACAAGGCATTGCCAGCAAATGTCGCTGAATCTTCTCAAGCCTGGCGGTAGCGACTGCAAGGAGAATGCAGAATTCCGGCAACGGTGGGGTTCATGAGATGGGCTTCGAAGTTGAGGCTTTGAGAGCTTTCGAGCTCGAAAGCTTGGGAGATTGCAGAGTCCGAAAGTCCGAAAGTTTCGAGTTCCAAGTTTCAGGCTGTGCGGATGTAAGCAAATTTCAAACTCCAGACTTTATTTAGGCCCTGAATACTTCATCAAAGTTCTTGAAGAACTCGAGTTCGGGCGAGCCTTCTCAGCCACATCTCCAAACATTCGTGCGCCCGAGTTTTAAGAAGACGTCAGTTCTCGAAGACGGAGCTGCGAGATAAAGCCTTTCTCAAAGATTGAATGCGACCGAGTTTGAGAGGAGCTTCATTCGAGATGTTGCGAGTTTGGAGCTTGAAGTCCTGAGTCAACTCTCACGACTAGCGCACGCGTTGGCAAGGCTGAGCTTAGGGATTGAAGAGCGCTCGAGCTCGAGAGTTTTGAGGCTCAATCTTGGAGAGATTGTCACTTTGAAGCATGTTCGACTTAGCAAGTTTGAGGGTTTGATGGCCCCGAGTCCTGAGATTGAACATCTGGAGTTAGAAAATTGAAGGCGTCGTGTGTGTGGAGATTCCTCCCTCGCCTGTCATGCAACCTCAAACATCCTCAAACATCCTCAAACTCCGTAAACTTGTAACAACCTGGAAGCCCTCGATGCCAACTCTAAACCTGGCAGCGGTGGATACCGCGTTTTTGGGCAGCTCGCGTCGCACCAGGGATTTTGTGGTTTGTGGCTAGCCGGGCTAGGGGTTTTTAGTTTTTGGGCCGCTTCTTCTTGGAGAGGAAGATACTACTATGCCCTAAACGCTTAGGCCCAGAGCCCTTCACAGGGTTTCGAGCCTCACGGGCAATGTCGCCCTCACCCCGCCTCGCCCCCATTCAGGGTTTCAAGTGGGGTTTGGCTAAAAAGTTTCAAAATGTTTCAAAAACAGAAAGTTCTGCACTTGACTGCAAATTGGGGCGTCGGGCTGGGAGCTTGAAAACTCGAGAGGGTTCGAAACTTTGAAACTTCAGTGCAAGTTCACGACAGCCATCCTCGAAAGTTCAAAGCTTTTGAATGTTTCAGAGATTGCAGGATTAAAAGTTTGTAGCAATGCAAGTTTGATGGTCGAGAATGGTCCGAAAGTTACCCATTACCCACGCCAGTGCTGCGAAGCTGAAAGCGTGTTTGGTCCTGCACACGTCAGAGGCTGAGAGGGGCGAGGATGTGGAGGTGAGGATAGGTGAGGATAGGCGAGGATAGGTGAGGATAGGTGAGGATGATCAGCTGAGCAAGGGGGCGAGTGTGTCCGAGAGCGCATCTTCGGGTTGACCGTCGCGGCCGGGCTTTTTGGCGGGGCGCTTAAGTGCGCAGAGTAAGAAGCAGAGGAAGAAGCAGAAGTAGTGCATATTCGGGGCGAGGGCCACAGGGGCAGAGAAGCAGGAGTACGCCCATGGTATCCCATGGTCACAAGTGCAAATGCCAATTCGGTCGAACTACGCCGTCAGATGATGGTCTTCGAAGCTACCACCCCTTGGCTACTTCAAGTTCGAACCGCAAAGCGAGCGCAGGACCACATGTCTAACAGCAGCTGGACCTCGTTACACACGCGCCCCTTGGGGCCCAACCCCTTTTCGTGTGCAGCCTTCAACCTTTCAAATTCCAAACTTTCGAACTCGGGATAATCGTGCTCCTTCGTTCTTCAAACTTTAAACCTCTCAACCTCGAACGTTTCTAATTCTGACTTGTCGTTTCAAACTTTCAGAGGTTAGAAGTTGAAAAGACATGCTTGCATTCTCGCAACATCTATCGGACATGATGCTGCTTGTCCTGCACATTGCGTTCAAAGATGACGGTCTCGGCATCCGTGAGAAGGCCAGGTGCCAGTGGTACCGCGGCGCTCTCCTGACAACATGCTCAAACCAAAAATGATCAAAAATGGGGGATGGAGGGGTGTGCCGTTCTGCCCAAGACGGCTCTCCTTGCTCAAGGCGACGTTCAGCAAAAGTCTCACGGCTGCTGGTCGGTAGCAGGATGGATCCAGGACCAACCTCCGGAGCATTCCTGTGTAGGTGGGTATGTCGAGTGCCACCTTTATCGACTGAGCGCCAAATAACGCCTCGACGACTTCCACAAGTGCGATTGGTCCCTGCACGGCGGCTTTTTCCATAAGCATGACCACCAACTCCTCACCAGGACAAATCAATGCACTGGCACATTGGTCCCGTGAGGTCCCGTGCATGCCCTCCCGACTTCTTGCCATCCGAGGTACAGGACTCGGGCTTGCGCCACCATTCGTAGAGGCTTCCAATAGCATCTTCAAGCCTGCAAGCACATCACCCTCAATGGTATCAGCAATGGCCTTCTCCCGCTGTTGGTCTTCCATCTTTCGCCGCTGCACTTCCTGTTCTGGCCCGGGTCCGGGAGCCGCGGGCGGTCCGTCGGGCAGGCGAGGAGCTGAACCTGTGGATGCCCATGGCCAGGCGTGCCAACCTTGAAAGCTATTGTGCCACCGTTGGCTCCAACTTGTGTAGTCATAGTCCCCGTACGACATGTTCGAAAAGCTCTGGCAAGCCGGATCCTCAAACATCGCTGCATGCCCAGAGTTGGGCCAGGCATCCCAGACATTCACGCCCGAAGGGCCTGAAGCCTCGGGCGGGGAACTATCACCAGTGGCTGGTCCCCAGCGTGGTGGCACAGTTGGCCTCACAGAAACACCAGCAGCACCCCACCTGCAACGGTTCTTGGCACTTTAGTGCGTTCTTAGGCTATCTCGGGCCTTCGAGCACTGGATTTCGAAAAGGGCTGTATGCCAGACGGTCGCGCAAGCGTCTCTGGAGGCCTCCGGAAGAAGTCAACAAAAACGAGCGCACATGTTTTTTCGACAAAGCCTGGAACACCTTCACAAGCAGAGAAACGGAACACAAATACAATCATTTGCAACCGATGCGGCAGCTCTTGCTTCTCATTGTCTGGCGCCGAATCCAAAGATGCTGTTGGCACACATCCGCTGGATCCAGCTGTCGCAGTTTCCTCCAGGCTACGCTTGTCCATGGGCTTTTGGGCTTTGTGTGGCTGTGCACAACAAATCACAACAACCTTCGTCCGACGTCGCCTCAATTTATGATCCTGGTCTGCAGTTCGCTGTAGTATCCCCCTCCCTCCTTCAAGGAAACAGGACCTTTTTTGACAAGTCTCTTCACCATTAACTCGTTCCCAATCTGACTGTCATCGTTTTTGGATACAGCGCTTGCTCTCTACAGTTTCCACTCGCAGGGTCTTGTCGAGGGTGACCTTCAGGGTCAAGGCTTGGGTGCTAAGCCCCGCCCCCCATGAAAAAAAGACACCACCCCCCCCACTCCTCTAAACCCAAAGCCCTCATGCAAACGCTAAACTTCAATTGAAACACCCAACCCCGAAGCCCGGCTCACCAGGCACCCGGAGGAAAGGGACAAGGGAAAGAGCGGCGTTGTGGGTTTTGGGTTTTGTTCGTCTCCCCCGGTTTTGGGGTTGGGCATTGGGCTTCTTGGGGGTGTACGGCGGACTCCAGTTGGGTTCGCATTGCCGGCCTCGTGCGACCGTGTTTCTCATGCCAGCTGGAAGAACAGCAAAAAAAACAGGCGGAGTTGGCGTTTCGAGGGGGCCAGTGAGGAGGATGCGAGGGGAGGGGGAAGGGGCGAGGCCGAACCCCCCACCCTCTGCCCGACTCGAAGCGCCGCGCTGCGCACCTAAAAGGATAGCACCTGCATCACTACTAATTATTAACCATCTAAAATTGAAAGTTCGGACTCCTGCAAAAAACTCCAAAGCGATGATACAGAAAGCAAATCCTGGTCAAAGAATCTCAATGCCGGCAACGTCTTCTAAGAAGCAGCGGCCTCATGCATGGAAGTGCATCGGCAGCCGCTGGACTCGGTGTCCCATCAGCGCGGCACAAGCTTCAAACATGACATAACAGAGTTTAACAGAGGCTTGCAGCACTGGTGAGGAAAGATTCTGATGCCCGAACGCATTGCACGAATGCACAACAGCGTGGAACATCTCAATTACTAAGGCATAAAGCAGCTCCAGATGTACATCTGCAAGCCGGAGCAACGCATGGTCAGGTGTTTTGGGTGGCTTTTTGTGGGCGCTTGATATTTGCCGTGACAAGTCAAACGACAGCAACGGGCACAGCCAGCAAGTCTTTTTCCGTCTATCTGTGGCTATGGCGGATGCCTCGCGGCAGGCCACCAAAGTAAAAGCAGTCAATCGCGAGAGAGCGTGTTGCCGGACTCTGCAGTGCATCCTGCCACTAGATGCAATTGTCCAACTCAGAATTGCCCACACGTGTCTCAAACAAACTGAACAACTGTACAGAGACAACAGCGGAACTCAGTCCAAGACAAAGCTGTGCAAATGGGCGCATCACACCGCAACACGGCGCGCCCGCACACTTCGCAAACACATGTCTTGCTGGGAAGTTGTTCTAGCAAGGATTGAGCACTCCTGTTTCAAGACATGCGTTTCGTCCCATGATCCATGGCAGTCACCCCGCCGAATCACGGTGTAAGTATCAGCGTCTGCTTCTGTGATTGTTGCCACATACGACGTATCACCACTTGTTGAGGGGCCTCCCCAGCCATCACCCTGGACACGCACAAGGAATCCAGCTTCCGGTGGACGAAGTGTGTGGCCAAGAGTGTCACGGATGACGGCCGAGCTGTGTTTCCACAAGGCAGGCGCGTTGACAACGCATTGCTGCTTGCCAATGATTCGACGCCTTGCCTGCTTTGGAAACCCTGATGTGTCCACATTGGCATGGCCTTGCATCACGCCGTTCGGCAAGTGCTCAATGGAAGCAGGCTCACGTCTTTCACATCCTTCATGGCCCGGTTCTCTTGCAAGATCTTGCTGCACATGCTCGTGCTGCGGCGGTTCCATCCAAGCACTGGGCCGTGCAGCACCATCAGCAATATCCGGGTCACTTGTTGCGGTGCGGAAAGCAGACTCCACCACCAACGTAGAGGCTAGTGCTCCAGAAGTATTCGGCATGTTGACATCTGAAGGTTCTACTGCAATGCTGGCAATCTCGGTTGCCATGGTTTGGCACTCGGCAACACACTTGCCAGGCTGCTGAAGAGCTACGTGATCTAGTTGTACCTCCTCTTCGTCCTGGCCGTCTGGGACGAGGCTTGGACTTGGCGAGTCCCGCCAGGTGGATTGCGAGGCGCTGGGGGCGAGGCTCGACGCGGCACGCAGAGGTCTCTTGCGTTCACGACCTGTGTGCACAGTTGGCCCACCACATGTGCCATCTTCCACAGCAAACGCAGCTTCGACGGACACCGGTTGCGTGGGCTTGCATGATGCTGTGCAGACGTTCTCGGCGTCATCGAGAAAAGCCTCCGAATGCACACGGCTGTTGGGAGCCAAGCTCGATGCTGCTCGTAAAGCACGTCTCTTCTTGGAAGGTGGTTTCGAGCCGTGGCCTTCCACGCCTTCCACGCAATCATGCCCCGCAGAGTTGGAATTAGCATGACCAGCATGTGCTTGGCATGGCTCCGGCTCGTTGCGCTTCTTGCCCATGTCCGCAAGCTCGCAAGAACCTGCCGGAATGGTAGGCAGTTCAAAGTCTCCCGTGTGGCTTTGCACTTCCGCCATGCTTGAACGGACCAAGGAGTAGCTTCCCACTCTGATCCGGTGACCTCCCACAGATTGGACTTGTGGCTTGGGCCGAATATCGCAAGTTGGATACAGCTATCATACAGCTGAATGTCTTATGTCGGCAGATCCTTCGCAAAGTGCGACCCCTACTTTTTACATCTCCCGTGACATCCAAAATGACAAAACCTGAAACCACAACGCTTCCGGTTGGACGCGTCAAACGACAAACGTTTTGCATGAGAGTGGAGTGTGATATGAATACCGAATACCGTTTGGCGGATATCGTAATTGAAGCCCTGCAATGCGAGAACGCACAAGATGTTTCTGCATTTTGGTCAGTCATAAAGAAGGCCTTTGACGTTGCGTATGTTTTGGCGATTGTTTGGCAGTTTTGTGAGTCCTTGTCTATTTAAAATTGGGCTTGACGCTTCCTTGCAGTGTTTGTGTAGGAGGGTTAGATCGATCGAGATCTGATGGTATGTTTGCTGGTGGTTTTCCGCATGTTTTCAAGGCATCTTTCGTTGTTTCTTGAAGCCAGTCAGCTCTTGGTCTGCCTACTCTTCTGTAGCAAAGTATCCGCTGTGAAGTGGTTCCAAATTCGAATAAAACTTGTCTTAGCGCGTCGTACCTGTCAGCCCTGAGTATGTGTCCTAGGAATTCGTATTTTGACTTTTCCAGCATTCCGAGAGTTTTTGGGTCTGAACTCCATAGCTTTTGATTTTGTTCATGACACTGTTGTTAGTTTGGGCCCTATCAACATGAGCGGGTGGAGTTTTTAGAATTCGTCTGAGAGTTTTCATATTTTCCCATTTGGAAAGCATCCACTTTTTCAGCTCATTTGCGATTAAACTCACGGGCCATTTTTTCCGCCCTGCCGAAGCTGCGAGGCCATGAAGACATAATACATTTAATATTGATTTCTATCTCTAACAAATACTAAGGTCGTTCATTCATAAACTACTTTATGCAATTATTGGCTTGTTCTGCCTTAGTGGGTTCCGTTCGCAGATTGTTGAAGCGCTTTCTTGAATGAGACGCGGTCGTGGCAAGACAGAAGGAAGCAAAACATGTGCAAGAAGTATGCAACAGACGCGCAAACCCACGAGCCACGGCCAGGTGCAAAAACTGTGCAAAACACAGTCACTGTGTTTTGGCACATTGTTTGCACATTGCCGATCCCAGGACTGGGAAAGCTCAAGGCACTAGGTGCAAAAACATGCAAAACCACCAGTGTGTTTTGCACATTTTTTGCACCTGGCCGTGCTGCCTGTGTTTGCCCAGTTTTTTTGCATATTTTCTGCATACACACTTCTTCCATCCGCCCCCTCCCCTCCTCCTCTCCCCTCTCCATGCCCCCTCTAAAATGCGCGATGGGAGCATACAGTTCCTCAGCCAGCAATGGCAAAAGCAATCTCGATCCATGCGAGAAGGCATGAACATTCCACCATCTATGGCTATGGCTAGCATGAAAATAAGGCACGAAAATGGTCTTATTAGGGGCGGTTCCCGGGTGTTGAACCTGGGGAGGTTGGAAAACCCTGGCCAGCTCCTGCTTGATCTTGCCATCTGGAACTTTGATTCTAGACGTGCACTCGTATGAAAAGTTAAATTCCAGGGTGTGTCAATAACAAACAGGCAAGCACAGAGTGAGGTCACATGGTCACATGGTCCGAACATTTGGTCAGCATGAAAAGAACGGCGTGAACAAAGAGAAGAGCAAATGACCCGCTAAAACGGCCGGTGCGGGGGCACGCTGCCTGGCACCGCAGCTGTCGTCGCATGGCTATGAATATGCGGTCGGGCGACCGTCGCCATCAAGGCTCAACATTGTCGGAACCCAGTGTTCTCAGTAATCCATGTGTACGTATCTGCTTTCGCCCAAGTAGTCCGGTGGGCTTCGGGACCTTGCAGTTGGCCGTCTTGTTTTTTTTTTCTCGCACCTTTTTTCTAACGTCCAATGCGGTCCCTGTGCTCTAGCCCCAGCCGGGCGACATCCTATTGGCGTGTGGTGGCTGCGCAGTTGAGTCTGTGAGGATGTCGCTCAGGGGCGGCAGCTCCCCATCCACATTGGCCGTGCCTGTGACAGGCAAAGAGAGCAGGCTGGCAGCGAAGGAGCGCGCGGCAGCGAAGGACAGGAGGGCCGACCATCGGAGCGTGTAGGCAGAGATGGCGGCGGCTCGTGAAGGGGGCGGTGCTGACCGCGCCTTGCACCTTGCGAGCAGGCGGACAAAGGTTGCGGCCTCAGTGCTCCAGCGCCCACCAAGCTCGAGCGCGACGACGGTCAGCCGGCAGCGGCCGGACCCGCACAATTCAAGGTATGTGCGCTCCTTGGCACGTCGGGCAGTCAAAAGCGCAGCGCCAGCTGTGCCACCGGCAACCCTGCGGGGGAGCCCGGCAGCCGTAAGGGAAGACACGAGCGTGGTGTCGACTGCGAGTTGCGCTCCTCCCCACAGTGGCAGGCCGTTGGCAATGACCTCGATGCGCCTGTCGTCTTGCCGGATGGGGTCGACGTTGAGGTCGCGGACAAGCACATTGAGGGCGACGGCCGCACCAGCTTCGCGGCACATCCTGGCGGCAGCACGCTCGAGAGGGCCGCCCCGCGCACGAAGAACACCAGAGCGAGGGCAGGCTGCGAGATGGTCGCCGTAAGGATCATGGATTGCGCGGCACCGGCATCTGGCAGAGGTCAGCGGCAACGGCAGCCGGCGTCTGCGGAGCAGTACGACCCGGAAAAGGGGCGACTCCAGGGTGAACTCCGGCAGGGTGGGACGCGTGGTGAGAACGCGCGCAGCGTGAGGTCCGGCCTGCGAATCCAGCAGGGCGGCCGAGGCAGGATCGGCCTCCCGCAGGAAAGCCCTATGGCAAAAGTGCGGTGGGAGGAGGTTTGGCCTTGTACATAGAGATTCGCTCGCGGGAAAAGAGCCGAGGAAAAAAAAAAAATCGTCGACTGCTTGGGACGCTGGGCGCTGCCACCCGCGAGTGAGGTCAAGGGAAGGGTCGTCGTCTTCGGGGAGGGCTTGCACTTGAGCACGCAGCAACTCCGCCCAGGCAGGGGGCTCGAAGCCAACGGCAGAGAGCGAGTCCCGGGCATCTCGCGCTGATTGCAGGGCCGGCGGGAGTGGCCGGTCAGACGCGAGGGAGCCGGCAACCTCACGTGCAAAGTCGGGGTCGCGCCGGGCGATGGCATGCAAGGCGTCCGCCCACGAAGCCCAGTAGGCAGCTGGCGCATGGCGTGTCGCGCAGCGCAAGCCTAGGCCGCCGTGCCGCAATGCCAGCTGCGCGCGCGCCTGAGCAGGTTCAGGCAGCTGCGACGCCTCATCGGCAAACAGGAGCGCGGAGGACTGCGCCATCATGGCCTGCCGCGTAGCCGCGCATATTGCGCACGCGGTGCTGCGCAACAGGAGAGCAACAGCCATGCTACTTGGGAGTCATGGAGGGCGGGGAGGTTGTCGAGGAGGCCGCCCTGGCGGGCAAGGGCGGCACGCAGGTGGGCCTCGACGAACTCCGGAGCGCCAAGAGGAACACCAAGGGCAACAACACCATGCTCTGCCAAGGGAGTTTCTTGGCCACCAACCCAGATCGGGGAATGAGGGGCAAGGGCAAGCACACCTGGTGGGAGAGTGCCAGCGGAGTTCCAAACCTTTGTCTTAGCAGCCTTGAGGCGGAGGCGCGCGTGATGCCACAAGTGGTGCTCAAGTCGTCGGTACAACTCAGCGACTCTGTCAGGGATGTAAACGTCGTCAAGATATGCCAGTGCCTGCTCGCCTGGGAGAAGCTCAGGCTGCAGAGCCCGGAGGGCGGGATGCAGGGCGAGTGAGAACATGGCCGGCATCAAAGGGTCCCCCTGCTCACCACCCTCAGCTTGGGGGATGCGGTGGGAGCGGTCGCCCGCGGCCCAGACATAACACGACTCCCGAGCGTACCACATTCGAGCGAAGGGGAGGATGGATAGCGTGCTGGGCGTATCCCGCAGTGCAGTTCCGTTTTATTTGCTGCCCTGGTAGTGGGATCCTGATCCACGTATGCTGCTTTCGCCCGGATAGTCTGGTGCGTCCGGTTAGGGTTTTGACATGTTTTGACTTGGTTTTTCCGCGTCTTTTCTCCGCCAGCCGGAAAGCCTCAGCGTCGGACTTAGGTCGCGTATTCGCAACATTTCGCAACCTCTACTTTCAAATTCACGCTGATGCCTTCCCTGTTTGTTTTTTTCCAGGCTCCTTGTTCCGCCCGCATGCAGGCATCCTGGTGTTGGCGTGCGGGGATGCCCTCACAGTCTGCTAGGCGCCGGCGGGAGGTGGCCTGCCAGAAGCTCCTCGAGCGGAACCTCGTGGGCGTCAGTCAGGTCAACCGGCCCCGCGATGGGAAGCTCGAGAAGCGAGCAGGCGTGCGCGCGCAGGGCGGCGAAAGATGCCAGGGCGACGAAAGATGCCAGCGCCGTCCAGTGCTGCATCAGCGCTTGCCTCGCCCCTGCTGCGCACCACGGCGCCCTCTGGCGAGCCCGCGCGTGTGCCGGCAATCGAAGTAAGGTGAGCGTTGGACGGCTGATGCATCCACGGACCTCAACTCCGGTCGGCGGCGCCGTGCCTGCTGGAACTCCGGGCGGGTCCGCTTTATGCCAGGCCTCGTCCGCGCTCCACTCCCCCGATCCACTTTAGCGTTCCTCGACGACCTGTACGTCCTCACGACACGGGATCGTGCCCAGTGCAGGAAGGGTGCGGCCTCGGGTGCACTTCATAGCGTCATGGGCGGAAAGTCGGATGCGCACCGAGCCGGAGCTTTTGAACCAACTGCCGCGCCTCCCCGACCTGCAGTGTGCGTGGCTTCTCCTCGCTCTGTGCGCATCGCCATGACGATGCTGTGTGGCAAACCTTGCATGCCGGCCTTGGCGGAGTCGCGTCAGGCGGTGCACGGGCCCCGGCGACCCTCCCAGCATCGCAAGGCGGTCTGGGTCGAGCGAGCGCAGGTGTTCAGCCGTGGCGCCTGAAGGATTTTTTTTTTTTCCCGCGCTTTTTTCCGCAGCGTGTCTTCGCGGGGTTACCCCCCGCGATCCCCCGCGCGCACTTTGCAAGTTAGCACGCAGTTTTGCGCAGTCGACGGTCAAGGGAGCCCGGCAGCGGGACCTGGCATCGCTATCGTTTCCCAACGCAGAACTGGCACCCGACATTTCCCCCAGATGCGATAGCGCCGCCGCCTGGTCCGCGCGACGATCGTCGTCCTGTTGCCCGGGGCGGGCTGGTGCGCTGCGCCACCGTTGCAAGGGGGCCGCCACTGCCGCTTGCGCAGCCTCCGCCTAAAAGTCGCCCAACGTTGCCCTCCGTGATGGCGCTGCATGCGCCTGCGGCGTTCTGGGCATCCTGGGCTGACGCAGTCCCCGTCCTTCGGTCGCGAGATGCGCCGCTTGCCGAGTCCTCGGTGTGCGCTTTGGATGCGCGTGAGGCTGTTGAGTGGTCACCTGTCGAGATGTTATGTCGAGATGTTATGTCGCCCGCTTTATTCAACGCTGGCTTGGAGCACGCTTTCCGACAGTGGAACAACGACTGATGGAGCATGGTCTTGACGCTGGAGATCATGTACATAATGGTTTCACTTTTGTTCTGATCGTGACACACGATCGTTCGAGGACTCGTCCCTCTCTCTCACGACATCATGATTTATGCAAAATTTTGGCAGGAGCTTGCATTTATAGTGTTTCACGTGGACCCGAACGTGAAAGAGAGCGAAAGCGAAAGCGTTGCAGAAGAGGCGAACGGCTCCAGCGCTGGCTTGTCCGGGAGCATGACTTTTAAATGCTCCGCTCGCATGCCGGTCAACCCTGCCGCTCCGCCTCGCTTCGCATCCCGCAATGCAGCCGCGACAGCAGTCGAGCCGAGCCGGAGGAGACTGTTCGGCCGGCATTCAGCCACGTCAGACGCACTGCCGTACGCGGTCGCGGCAGGCGGCGGGCGGGGTCTGTCAACAAACGCCAAGTGGCCTCGTTGCCGGGCGCAAGCTCAGCAGCCGACACGAGATGGCGGGCCCTGGAGAGCTCGCCCTTGGCGCACGTTTGTTCGCGCTTTCGCTCGGCCACGACCTCGGCGTCATCGCCACCGCGCTGACTGCGGGGTGGGTTGGATCGCCGCACTGCGGCCAGCAAGCGCGCCCACTCTCCCCGTCGGAAGGCCGCTGCTCGGGACAGAAGCATGCGTGGTGCAAGGACACACAACTTCCACGCGCGCGAGCCATGCCGCGTTGGGGACCCCAGCTTGCGCGGCAGTCGCAGCGGCGTCACGGTCTCCAGCTGGGCAGGCGGGGACGCCTTCGCATCCTTCGTCGGCGTTCCCACTGGACGGCGACGGTGCTTGGCGTGCTGAGGAGCGGCGGTGGGCACGGCGGCGACGGTGGCGGGTGGTCGGTGGCATTGGCCGTGACAGTCCTTTGCATGCAGTGCCCTGGTTTGTCCTCGTGTGTGCTGCATGTGTCATTTGCTCGCCCCGCCAGCAACCTTCAAATGGCGGTCCAAATCCACTGTCACATGGCCATTGGCAGCCAAACAACATCCCAACCATTTGTGCGACAAATCTCCCGAAAATGCATCAACGCGTGTGTGTTGATCCAGCCACAACTCCTGCAGTGGCTGCGCTGCGCTTCCGTTGTGATCGCCACTGTTGGTTTTGAATGCGCAAGAAGCGAACGAAACATATGCAAAGCATGCTTTACCGAATGCGCAAATAACAGTATGTCATCCGCAAGTCTGAGATCGTTGAGTGGGTTGTAGAATCCAAATGAAGTGTTGCGAAACACCGTGGTCTGCCAAAGCTTGCCACATCGCAGACCAATCAATACGGGCAAACATGTTGGACAAATCAATGGCAGATGGGCTTCACGGGTTTTATCGATAATAATAATATTTACTGTAAGAAGATGCTCCTCCAGTCGACGGTGAGGTCGAAACCCATGCTGTGATACAGGCTGCATCGATTCAAAAAATGGTCCAGTCTGGCAAGCATCAAATCTGAAAATGATCTGTGCAAGTTGCAAAATTTGCTTGTGCCGATTTTAGCAACATGCGGAATACAGTCCGACGCCAGGTTGACGCCTGACCAAAGCGCATGGTTGTATAAATCAAGCAACACAGTACGGTGCATGGTGCAGCAACTCAGCCACCAAACCACTTTCATCAGTTAGATTTCAGTTTGTGGATTGCGTCATCAAGCTCTTGCGAAGTGAAGAGCTCATTCAGCGTAGTAGGCTTAATGGGTATAAGTGTGCACCCCTTGAAGAAGTTTTCCAACATGATAGCAAACTCATCATTGTGGGTTTGAAGAGAAGCGTCGGGACTTTGGCGGGAGATTTTTGAGCTGTCTCCAATTTTTGGGACGCTGCAATAATTGAGCGCATCTGCGGTGAGCCCCGACAACTTGGCCTTGGATGTTGAGGGCACGGTGCAACAATTGAGCGCTTCTATGCCCGCTAATATCGGCCACCATGACTTTCCGCTGTCGGAAGCCAAACTCCTGTGACCGCTCCCGGGTCCAGATGGTTTGCCTTATGAAGCACTTCGGGTTGACGATCCATGCCTGCGCTCTTCGTTGCCGGTGTTTTTCGAGCTTGTTCGGTCTTGGTCGATCGTCCCTACCGTGCGGCGCTCTGCCGCAGTTGCGCCTCTCCGCAGACCAGATCTACACCTTGGCAGAAACTCTTCGTCTGCGGGCCCGTCGTCGCACGTTTTGTGCGTTCGTTGATGTATGCAAGGCGTTCGATGTGGCCTGGCGGGATGCTGTCCTTTTGAAGCGAGTTGCTGCCGGGGGCACGGGTGGCTTATGGTCAGTCATTGCAGACTGGATCTCCAATGCCACCGCGCGGGTTTCCATCAATGGTTCATTCTCGGAACCTGAATAAGCCTGGCAAAAACTGTGTCCCAATAGCATGCGGCGACAAAACGTGCGTGCCCGATGGGGTGCCAGAGGCGAAACGTGGCTACGCTAACGCGCCCGCGCCGAGCTCGGCGAGGCGGGGGCACGAGCAGGCCCCCAAGAACGGTCGTAAACGCGAGTCTTGCAGAGGTTGGCAGCAACGCCATGCAGTGCGCGTCTCGATGAGGGACGTGACAGTGTCAAGTGCCTCTCGCGCATGCCTGGCTGTAGTGATGAGGTGGACGTCGTCAGGCCGCAAGGAACTCGCCGGAGCGCATCATAGCGCATCTGTTCGTCCACGGCGACGAGAGCGTCGTGCTGGTCGAAGGCGAAAAATGCCGCGGTCCCTCGCCTTGGTGTATGGCACACCGCATCACGGCGCTGGCCCTCCGCGCCCCACCAGCAACACGTGGACTGCTACCCGTAGCACAAGCGCTACCCGTAGCACAAGTGCGTCACGTTCGCGAAGTTTCTGCCTTCAAACATCGATTTGTTTGCTGGTGCGTGCAAAGCTTCTTGTAAAATACTGGTTTTTCGCTATGTGCGAGTACCTCCAAGCTGCGGTGTACTTGTTGGACGGGTTCCCGTGAACGCACAAACCGTGGGAGACATGACATCATGATTAAACCAGACCAGGTGGGCGACGTGATGCGAAAAGGAGAGATGGGCGAAGTCTTGTGAAACGATGTGCTGGATGAGCCTTTGTGTTGATTTCACGAACTGGGCGGCAGCGTCGCGATCCTTGGTTGGCCACCCTGATTTCGGTAAACACACTCCGCGACTGTGTGAGCTACGTCAGTTCGGAGGGACGATTCTGGGAAATGCGACATCCACTGGTTTACCACTGTGAAGCACGTGAGGGGGTCGGCAAATGCCGCTCCTACCCCGATCTCGTATCTCCGACGGTCTGTCTCCTCAGCTACCAACCCCCGAGCTACCAACTTTCCTGGTTGCAAAGACTCCTTTGCCTCCTGCGGCTTGATGCGGCATTGAGGTGGCTGCCGTGCTCGCCGGTGGCTGATTCCACAGCAAGGGGAGTAGTGATGGGTAGTGCTCACACATCTCACGGCCCTGTGCAAGCCTGCGGGGCGTGCAGGGGCATCGGGACCGGCGACGTGTTCCATGTTCCAGCATGGCGACAAAGGCTCTGCCTACGGGCGATATTGAAGAACGCACGTAGCGCGCATACGACACCACATCTTGCGGGCGTCTTTCCCCGCAGCGCTGAGCGGCGTGGCGCACGAACTGGTGCCCCTCATCCGTTTGTCCTGCGCCTCTCCAAGCATTGTTGTGGGACGACCAGTTCTTGTCAGGGTTCTGCCGGCTGGTCCAACCGGATGAATGACTCCTTGCTTTCTGCGACGGCGACCCTTCCGTCATCACCAAGCCCCGCGCACACGCCAGCCTTCAAAGTCACGAGGGCCGTTGCGGCCTTCCCAAAATGCAGATCCCTAACTTCGGATACACGGACACCCCGCCCAACATCACCGAACTGGGTCCACCCTCTATTGGGCGCAAGCACTGGCACTGTCCTTGACGTCAACCTTTGTTTTGTCATGTTGGTCGTGGCTGTGTAGGGCTCCTTAGGAGCTTCTGAGGAGATTGCCGGTCTGGTCTGCATACATTTGCAAGAGCCATCTACCAATTTGATACTATTTGGAGCATCAGTTTGCACACTTTCATTGGAGATGGCTCTCTGCAATCGCCAGCGTCAGCAATGTTCATTGTCACCTTCACTAAGTCACGAAGCACCAGCAAACAAACACAAACGCGTAAGTAACAAAGTAAAATCTTCAAGGCGCAAAGCTTGGTGCTGGAACTACAGGAAACATCTCAAAACATCTCAAATTGCGTTGCAGATAGGGCAGACAGCAGCACTGCCAGCTGCCCCCATGTCGTGTGCTGTGACACACTTCCGCTCAAAATAGCAGATTGCATCATGTTGCACCAAGACATGACCCAGACAGCTTGACCCAGCTTGAAATTGAGAAGCTGTGTAAAGCGATCCCCTGGATCACTCGTGCTATGAGCATCTGCGGCCCGGTACCTAAAATTTCAGACCAGGGCTCGAAGACGACAACAGCAGAGCTTAGCTGCTGCACAGCACAAATCAGCACATGTACATGGACCGCCCTTTTAAGGACGGACACGGAGCGGAGCGAGAAGACTAGAGACACGATGAGACACGCGCTCTTGTGTCACAGCTCGTCGTTTGCCATTCTCAGCTGAAGATTGAGATTTGAAGGCGTCAAGAAGAGCTGGGCCTGCAAAGACATTTGGACATCTCATCCCTTTAAATTGAAGTCGGACACTGTACGGGGTCCTCTGTTGCCCCGCTCTGAGCTCTCTCTCTCTCTCTCTCTCGCTCTTGCTCTCTGCAGCTTGGCCTGGCCAGAGGCGAGATTGTGTGTGTCGGTGTTCCGTGCATCGAGGAGCTGATGCATCCTGGCCCGCATCATCCCGCTCCGTACATCTCCGTACTCTCAGCCCCTATCAACTTAAGCGAATGGTCCGGCCTGTACAATTCCGTGCGGTCTGCCACATCTGGCACCGTCTCATTCAGCCCATCGATGAAAGCTGCTGCGCTTTCCACCTCACACAGTGCACCTGTGCACCTTACCTTCACTGGGGTTAGGCACCCTCGCTGCCTGAGGCTCCGACAAGCTCAGTACCTTGAGCTTGACCTTCTAAAAGAGCTGCCAGCCTCTGGTTGTTTGCCTGAACAGTAGCACTTCATAGCACTTCCATAAAGGGCACCGAGCTTGCTGAATCCAGATTCGCGGGGACCTGTGTCCTGATGAAGTCCGTGCGCTGTTGCTCTAGCCTCGGCTGAGAGAAGAGTTTCGCAGTTGGATCTCCATGGTTCCGAATTGCTCTAGGCGACTGAATGTCGGCCACGAGCTTCGCGGCCAAGACATCATTCTCGCTTTCTTGCTGCTGCAGGCGGTTGATGCCTCTGAGGCTCAAAGGCGAGAAGGCCAGGAGACGGCGACGACAGCGCACGACAGTACACGACGGTGCACAGAGGAAAAAAAAAAAAGGATAGATAAAAAAAGAGGCCTCTGGATTTGCCGCAGATTTGCCTCAACCTCCGAAACTTAGCCAAGCGGCGGTTGGTCGACTCCTGGATGATGAGCTGCAGAATGTCAGCCGTCTCCTTCGGAGCCCGAGAAACTTCGTTTCCGTGCATCTCTTCTTGCACAGTGACCCAGTCCTGGTCTACCATGTCGTACCGGGTCATCTCCATGCTTTGCAACTCCACACCGCGGGAGCTGTAGAAGCCATCTGCTGCTTGTTGAGCATAGGCCTGACAAGTACGGACGGGTACCCTGCTGGAAGCTAATGCTGTTTGTTTTCAATTAAATGCACGAGCATAGGACCGAACAAATCAGGAGCAACTCCCGCGGATGAATACACGACAAAACAAGGCTCAACAAAAACAATAACTCGTGGATCCCTATATCGTCAACATGTCCAAAACGTCATCCAGGCATCTTCATAATATCAGCAGTCTCCAGCTGATTAGAGATGATCATCAGCAAGCGGCTGTTTGGCTGGGGGGTCGCGTGGGGATGGGCGGGGATCAGTAAAAATTCAGAATGTTCTCGAAGCCGCAGAAAACTGCAGCATCCTAGATTCGTTCAAAGCTCCAGATATTCAAAACTGTCGCTACAACACAAAAGTTTTATAAATGTGTTTGGGCCGAAGATGTCCCGTTTGAGATTGCTTTTTGCTCCTCCTATCATGCGAGCACTCGTAATTCTCGCTTCGCTGCAGCCCTAAATTCACAAAAACGATCGAACATCGATCATCCCTGAGCAGCGCGAGGCCCATCGGCTTTGATTTGCAGGAAATCCCAATCTCCTTCGTTTGGCGCCGCTTCGGGGCTTGGAGTGACAGTGGATTCGGTCAAACGGTCTCAGTTGGTCGCAGAAGGCCACAAGCCGCAGATAGGCATCGTTGATTCTGACTGGGAACATTCTGAAGTACAAGGGCGCAGGGGCGGTTGCGGTTCGGGTTCCCGGTTCAGGTTCGGGCTCTGGTCTTTTGCGCGGGGGGGGGGGGGGGTTCCGGTTCGGGTTGCGGTTCAGGGGTGTTCTGGTTCGGGTTGGGGTTCTCAAGTTCGGGTTCGGGTTCGGGTTCGGGTTCGGGTTCGGGTTCGGATTCGGATTCGGGTTCGGGGCGGGGCTTGACACCCCCTTCACCGAGCACTGAGGAATAAATGGATGCGGTGTTTCGCAGTGGCCATTTAGCGGCCAGCAGCCTCTCGGCCAGCGATTGCGCCGACCTTGCCCCTTAGCCCCTTAGCCTTATTCCTTAATCAATGTAAAGGCTGTGCTCGATTTGTGATCATGTCATGCTACTACAAGACTCCTCCATGGAACTCCTCCGCACCGAAAGGGGGCTTGAGGGGGCTAGGCTGGTGCCGCTGTCAAACCTTCGAACTCGCTCTTCACGGTATCAAGCATTCCAAAACGCTTGTCGTCAAACTTCAAACTTCGAATCTTTCAAGCCTTCAAACTCGTGGGTGTTCAGGCTCTCAAACTCCTCACCTGATCGAATTCAACCTCAAACTTTCAACAAACGCGGCGCCATTCAACTTTTTAACTCTAGGTTTACTCGTTTATCTGTGACCTCCTTCTCGGCTCGTGGTTGGGTTGGTGAGGGGGAAGAGGTGATCTGAAGAGCTGGGGGAGGGGGGGGGGGTGCGGGGCATGCGAAATTCACATGTTTTCTTGTGAGGTGGGATCATCCCCTCTGTACAGGTCTGCACCCCTCCCTTCTTCATGAACATGGCGCATGCTTTTCGGCAACAATATTTTCCATGAAGGCCTAGTATCCAAGTCTGTTCAGGGCGGCAAGCATCGTCGAGTTTACGGCTTGGCGTGTAACTGGGACTGACGATTGCCAGACTGGGTGGGGTTGGGATGGTTGGGGAGGGCACACTCGAAAGTTGTTTGAAAAAGCGGGGAGGGGGAGACTAGTACTACTTGGAAGGAACGACCCGACATGTGGTGTATCGTACGTAGCTGACACAAGAAACTTGCTGAGCTGCATGTTCAAGAATGCTCGGCTTGCTTGCTGATTTACCCTGCGGGGGGGTTTGTATTTGTCCCTCTTTGATTCTGAATCATGGACGTCTGATTTGGACATCTACTTTGCGAATCGGTCTTTCCTTTATCTTCTTGCACCACGGCTAGGCTGGTATGATATTGGTACATCTGCTCGTGCTGGTGAGCGTTCGCAGTTCATGGCAGGTATGCGCAGAACAGTCCGCCATTGACCTGTACCTTTCTTTATGAGGGTTCGTCCTAAGACATCCAGACGGTGATCAAGGTTCAGCGGGAGCCCCCCCCCTGACTTTTTCCCTTGAGCTTCAGTTGCCGGAGAGAGTTTGTTCGCGTTTGCTAGTCCAAGGACAGTTTGGCCGAGTGGTCTAAGGCGCTGGCTTCAGGCGCCAGTCCGTAAGGGCGTGGGCGTGGGCTCGAAACCCCACAGCTGTCACTTGTTGCGAGGCAACCTGTTGTTCTTGCCCTTGCAAAATTTTCACAAACTGACAATCGTAGGAAAAGGTAGGTTCTTGCAAAGTTCTGATAAGATTCGTGCTACAATCTGGTGGGGCTTGCTATTTACTTTCACTTGTTTCTGTAATATCCCCAAGTAGTGCTGCCCATAGAGTATGAGAGAGTGAGTGAATGAGTCAGCCATTCAATATTGGGTTGATAATTTGTAAGGAGAGAAGCCGTGAGCGATGCATGAACCCAACTGAATGAATGAATGCATGAATGAATGAAGGAATGAACGAAATCAACCAGGAATTTACTGCACGGCGCATGACGAACGCGTCGCTGTGCGAACATGCTGATGGTACCTTACTACTTTACTTTCATCTGAATGGCGAAAGCGGCAATCTAACAACGATATCTGGCCGTATTTTGCCATGTCCTGCGAAGTCAATCGTCTAGCGGTTATACTATGATTGCCAAGCAATCCATCGCACCCGTGCCTGCGCAGTAATATTGTTGAACTGACTCATGAAGACCTAAACAAGTTCGGCTGCTGCGCGCAGATAACAGCACGCATGCAAGATGCCCGAGGAAATGGCTGAAAAGGTGTTCTGGCTCACGGCTGAAACTAGTCCGCTTCGTGCTCGTTGCGAAACGTCACCCGCAGGATCAGCTGTCATGGCAATAAGGTTTGCACACCATTGCATGACCATGATCGGCTGATAGTACTTGCAACTTGCAACATCTTTCATGTGCGCGTGAGGCCTGTCATTGCAATCATGGTGAGAACATCCTGTGAGTGGCACGGCGTGACCACAGAACTGATGGTGTTTGCATGCGCACGGCATGGTGTCTAGTCCCATCAATCTTATCTCTTCCTCATACGGGTTGTCCTTCACCTGCCAGAAAATGGTACCCTCCAGTCTCATCTTCACATTGTCGCTGGTGCGTACTTCAACGTTGAAGAACCTTGCATAAAATACATTCACACGCAAGCTCATGAAGCTAGAGCCAAGCTGTCCCTCAAACGCACTCTGCAAAACTAAGCAGCATCTTCTGTGCTCGGAGATCAATCATGGACACCGCTGCCTTCGGAACTGGGTCCTGCGCCACACACAGTAGGAACTTGTTTGGCCCTTTGTTCGGCCCCATGCCCTGAGGTTGTGGTCAAGTCCTGCTAACTTAGCTCGACGCAATCACCACAGACAGAAACAACAGACAGATGAACCGAGGCAAAACCCCACATACATCGACTTTAACAGACCCTGGTATCCGACTTTAACAGACTGGAGCACCCCCCATTCTGTAAGGAACAATACGCATAGATCCGACACACGTGAGCTGTGTTAACATCCTTCAGAATTGAAACTCTGAAATTGCAGCACCCGCAGAATGCCATGGACCACTCTTGGCAGATTGATAAGACTTTTCTCAAGCTCCCTGAAAGCCCCACATGTTTGAAGTGTGGCAGAAGAAGCACAATAAGTAACATTAGTTCGCATCTCGCACTGTCAAGTGCATGCTGCCAGTAGCCTGCAGATCAGGGCTGTCGTAGACAGACCACTGCATCTCCACTAGTTCCTGCGAAGGATCTCAAAGGGAGTCAAGTCAAATGCTCTGTTCCCTGCCTCGTAGGGCTGCAAAAAGAAGGCTGTACTTCCACTGGCTCCGCTGATCATTGTCAAGGCACCTGAACTCACATCTAGCAATCCAAGATTCCTTTGTCGCTGAGGGGTTGCCAATTGTTGCCAGGCCACCCAGGACATCTCGGGTCACGGCAGCCTGGCCGCTGAGCAGAGCGCGCGTTGATTTTTACACTGCTTTGCCGTTGCCAACATAAGTCGGCACAACATGGAGCGAGCATCCTCACCTTTTCTGCCGACCCTACATGCTTTTCAACGCCCTCGGCCTGATTGTTCAACACCACGTACTTTGTTCTCACCTGCTCCATCAGACAAGATCAGCATGTTGCTCAGTAACACCATTGCCAGAAACACATTGCAAGCTCATAGACAAGGTACAGACGATGTCTCAAGAGAGCAGGGATGTGTCTTGACAAGGCTAAGTTTGTTCAAACAGCGCAGCGAGCTCTTGGTAATGTCGAAGGTAGCAATGGGCGCCCAGCCCCTTGTCGATCACACTAGGAGAGAATACAACTGGTTTCTTGTTTGCGCTTTGTTTGCAGGTTTCACTTATCCCAAACAGCCTCCAGGACCTTCTCATAAGCTTCCGGAAAGAACACTCCGTTGGTGGTTTCAAGCCGCCTTTGTCCAGAAGTCCTTGCAGCTCCGACGTGCACTGTGCCCCCCCCCCTCCACTGTTGCATTGTATAGATGCAGCGCCTGCCTGTTGAGGACCACCACCGCCTGCTGGTCCGTAAGGAATACAGCCTTGCACATGGCCTACACTTGCACGTGCTTTCCGAATCAAGCTGTGCTGGATGGAGAATGCTGGAGAGCAGCACACAGTCAAACTCACTTCAATAGGTGTCCAGCGGTGATCTCCCTAAAAAAATCGCTGAACTGAACTTTGCATTAACTGCTCTCTCTGGCGGAGGTGCCTTCTGGACACCATCCGCGGCTTCTTCATTAGGTTCTGGCACCACTTGGTCCGGGCCTGCTGGCAGGTTCAACACGAGCCCCTGAGAGCTCATGTCGCCTTCAAAAAGTCGTCATGGGATCTTGGGATGTTAGGAGTCTGCCGAGGCGTTAGTTGACATGGGTTGGTGCAAACAGCCTGCGAGCCTCGCAGGACCCGCTCCATGCCCGTCTTCTTATCCAAGAACTGGATGTACTCGTCCTCCAGTGGCACCCCGTGAGCTTTCCGTTCCAAACACCTTGCAGCTCCCTGGCTGAGATCCCTGCTGAGATAAGAGGCAAAGAACATGAAACAAGTTGCAGCAAACACGGGAGCTGCACGCTTCCTGCACAGTTTTCTGAGTATTCCTTTGCTTTGCTTAGGAGCGCACCTTCTCCAGAACAAGCTTTCGCTTGGTCTCCAGGATGCTCTGGCCACATCACAAGAGTCATCACAAGAGTCATCATGCATCTTCGAGCAGAGTCTTCGAATAATTAGGCTGCGTGGAAAAGCGGCGCCTCATATGCACCAGCTTGCAGCAGCTGTGGCCCAACTTCATTCCGTGCCTCTCACAGAGCAGAAACTGGCCACGTATGTCAGAGGCTTTGCGCCTCGACTGACTGGACAGCAGGTCAGCAGGTCAGCTCTGCAGCAAGGTCAGCAGCCTAATGCATGGAAGGTCTACGTTAAGACACATGAGGTATCATGACATGACATCGGGCGTCCTCGCCAGTCAGCAGGTCCTTGACAACAGCATACTCCAGGGGCTCGAGAAGAACGGCCTGCAATCGGAGAAGAGCACACAGGCCCCGTGCGCGAAGGCTGATGGTGCAGAATGGGAAGTATCATGAAAGGTCATGAACCTTATAGTCAACCTTCTAATCTTACTCGGCCTGCTGCTCGCTGAGGATCTCTTCGTAGGGTGCTGGAACAAAAGCACCGGCCTGTGAAAGCATGGCAGGGAGCTAAAACGCCAAAACATGGCAATCTCACGCAAACTGAGCCACATCGAATTTAAGCATTGAAGGCCTCGCGCATCAAACTTTTAATGCCTGATGTCTTGTTGTACACCTCAGCTAGGAGTAACTGAAAGCTTGGCTCTATCACACCACGACGTCAAGTGATGTCAAGTGTCAGGTGAGGGTGCCGTATTTGCCGTCCAGCTGCAAGGACCGCATTCTGTGCTCCGATGACAATCGCTGTCTCCACACCCGCAGGTGCCTCCAGGTGCGTGGGGATGTGCGCGCGTGCGTCTCTTGTGAGTACGTGCATCATGTTTTCACCCAGGTACTTGGCATAACACCGCTTGATGCATGATGCATTTGTGCATTTGCATGCTCGGGGTTTTGCTTTGGGGTAGTTGGCACCTCTTCCAGCGGCCGTGGAACCAAGGTGGTGGCACCCTGCACGACGCGTTCCTCCCTGGCATTCCAGAAGAAAGCGTCTCCAAAATTCAGGCTATCCATGCAGACTCACACCAATGTTTCGACGGCTGGCTGCCGCCAGCATAAGCCAGCGCCACACTTGCACGTTGCGAACCGGGGAGCTTAGGGGTGATAAACAAAAGCAACCTCGGACTGACTGACCAATTTTTTCGGGCATCGCCCAGCGCCCGAAGTCTCTTGGGCTGAAGGACGAATCGGATAAACGAGTCGAAAACGATACGGACCAATTCAGAGATCGAAGAAGGCCAAGTCAGAAAACAGCAAGCGGTAGCAGCACGGAGCACGTGTCGGCTCACAATTTTCGGACAAGCAAGGCCCCTTCGGATGGGAGGAAAATGTTCTTCGCAAGAGTGGGGGGTGACCCCTAGGGTGAAGATGACTCAAGTGCAAATCCAGAAGAAACGGTCGTGGAGATCCCCCAACCCTAAAAGGAGATGAGCCCTAAACCCTAGAAGGAGATGCTGGTTGCTAACCCTGAACCCTAAAAGGAGATGTTGGATGCGGAGAACCCTAAACCCTAAATGGGGATGTTGGTCGCCAAACCCTAAACCCTAAAGAAGATGTTGGATTTGGGAGGACCCTGAGCCCTAAAAGGAGACGTTGGTTGCCAAACCCTAAACAGGCAGCACGCAACCGCATGAGAGAGAACAGGCTTGGGGATTTCTGCGGGGGGGTTCAGGGTGTTTTCGCCTCACGTCTGAGCATCTTCTGCCTGGGGGTGCGGGCGGTTTGGAAGGTTTTCGACTCGGGGCTTTTCGTTCTCGACTCGTGAACGCTGACTCCAAAGCATTTTGTCTGACTTGAGTTCTTGAGCACGACTTTGATTGTCAGGGCAGTCACTTGTTTGAACCACCATGCCCCCTTTAAACCCTAAACCCTAAAACCGACTGAACCCTGCAGCGTGACCCCCCGAGATCTTGTGGCGGATCTTTCCTGTGTCTCGAGGAGCTGCTTCGTCTTGCTTTCGCGGGGCTTCGGGCTCGCCCCTGAACCTGGTGATCGAAAGGGCTTTCCTTCCTTCTGGCACGCTTCCAACCGCGGGACACCCAGAAGGGCGCGGGTTAAAGGTCTAGGCGTAAGACCTAGAAAGCATGCCACGCAGTTCCCGAGGTTCAAGGTTGGCAGAGATCGGATTCTGTGCGACATCGCGACGTTAAGGACATCTGCATTGCACTTTGACCCTGTGAGTTGTTGTGTGCCTTGACTAGCAGCTGCGAGGATCCCATGTCAACGTGCGGACGAGACAACGCAACCTAGGACACAGTGGGGTGGATGGCCATTGGTCCTCACCGTCAGGGATTGTCCCCTCATTGTGCCGCTTGCCCTTGGAGTCGAGATCGACTTCTCTCCCATGTGATGACAGCGCACAACTTTGGGGTTCATTCAGTTCATTCATCCTCGCGTTCCCGGACTGCACGCTTTTTGTGGTGTGGTTTAGTGGAGTACAAACATAAAGCAAAGCGTACTGCTTTGCTTTATCACCCAATGCTGTGGTGTTGGTCGTATGGTTTGGGTAGACAGGAAAGATCTACGGTGCACCTGACAAAGGAATCTTGTTTCGACTCCATTTTGCCGACTTCGATGGGATTCTTCTCCACTGTGAGCAGAGGCTCCCCTCCGTTCTCTCCCCATCCTCCCTCCTTCCCTCCCTCTCCTTCACTGGCAACAAGAAGAGGGCCAGGACCGCGAGGGAGTCCATAAACACGACATGATGGAACAGCTAAGAGGATCTTATACATTGACAAGCGTGCTGTGGGCACCCGGTCATCTTGTCGACGAGGCGAATGTACTCTTGCTTCTGCAAGACCGTCTTTGACCTCACTGCCTGGCATTCCAAAAGAGACATACCGAATCGGAGCCTCATATCCATTGCATCCTGGTGGCCTCTAATGACTCATAGGCCCCCATGAAGACGAACTCCTGACAGTGAAGCATCACAACAACTTCCACCCATGACATGTCAATGTGGCTCCCTCGAGGTAATTAACGGGGCCAAATGGCATGGGCTGGCCCTGCCGCACCCGAGCCCAAAAATGAGAGTGAACTGGTGCCAAGGATGCGATGCCGGGACGCACACGCACGCCCCCACCCCGGACAGCATCATCAGGCGTGCATCCGCACTGGGCCACGCGACTCGACTCCACAGCGAAGGAAGCTTGTCGATGTGTTGGCCCCAAACCCCGCCGCTTTCAGTTGGCATGGTCTTAGCGTGCACTTGGGGTACTCTGAGAATGATCTGGAAGTAGCCTTACATTGTGTGGGATCTAGGAGAAACATTGATATACAAGCATGGTTTCGATTCAGGGTGAGTACAAATCCAACAGATTCGATGCACAGAATTGAACACGATGAAAAGGCACTTCTGCCTGCAAGCGAGGTGTAAGCAGCGGTAGAAACAGCTGCAAACTGTGCTTCACAACTTCGGCTTCTGCTGCTCGTGATCTCGAGCTGCTGGGTTCCAGAAATTTTGCCCGTTGGCTTGACGCCATGCACCCTTCAATACACGTAGATCGCAGAACACTGTTTAAGCAGCTCTTGATCATCTTTGTAGGCTATGCTGAGTGGGCAGGGTTCTGACAAGATTGTGATCATCCTGGATTGGCAGAAGATGGCAGAAGCTCTGATAGGGAATTTGTGCTGCCAAGAAGCGGGACCAGGTACGTGACGAAGCTCTTGTGTTCGTTCATGCTTGAGAACCGCAAACTCACCTTCGGAACTGCTAAATCATGCTAAATCCATGACGACCTGCCGCTTTGTGCTGCGCACGGGAGCCATGATTGCTGAGGCCTCTGCTTGTTGAGATTTGAACAGCTTCTCTCATTTCGTGAGTTATGTGAGGCCAGACGATCTCAGTGAAAGGGCCGTTCTTCACCTCTTTCGTTGTCGGAAAGATGTACAGGATCCTGGAAGGCACAACCCGCGCAAAACTTGCACAAGAATGGGTGCGTTTCTGGCAAGCTGTGCTATAGCTGTGCTACAGCAGTGCTATAGCCTTCTCAACCCTTTTGATATCTCATCTCATAGGGCAGCAGATCTCCGAATCCTCAAAGCTGAAAGCACGAAAGCACTTGAAGGTCCAAGGCTCTGCTGCCGATCATTGACCACCTCAGCAACGCAAAAAACGGCACACAGGGCATACGAATGCATACGACACCGAATCACCAAGGCCTCCGTACAAGCCGCGAGAAAAACAAACATCATCGACAAAAGGAGCACGCTGCTTTGAAAGGTGTAGGCATGTCGTCTTATGTCATCTCCCAGCGCATTTTTCCGGAAAAACTTGGAGCTTGGCTGCACGAGCTCACCGCTGGAGCAAGTGCAGTGGTAACCAGTACTACGGCAAGTTCCGACCTAATCACTCTGCATCCGCAGAACTTTTGGAATTGGATTTGTCCAGAACTGTTCGCACAATGCGGGGTATTCTTGAATGTACTGATTCAGGAACCCGAAATGTTGTGAGGTACTGCAACACCGCGATGTCCTCTGGAATACACTCGCTGCGGCCCTGGAGCACCGCACGGGCACGCATCACGCGCAGCGCTTTGACAAGGAAGGTGCGATCAGTCAAAAGCGAGTTCTTGGGGCCGACACCATGGCGGGTGACCAATTCTTCCAGGACCCGAAGCAGTAGTCGTCGGACGGATTTGGGCACCACCGTCGACATGTGCGCTGCAGACGCGGCTCTCAGCTCCTCTGCAGCCTCGCCAGAAGGGATTGCTGCCGACTCTGGCGCTGCATGCGCTGTGTCGCAGAAGAGGTTGACGATTTGCGCGGCTTCATCCCAGCGCTCCGATTGCACCGCACCTTCTGCTTTTAGCTGCAGAACAAACCGATCCAGGTTAGCAGGATCCAATGGCTCTGTATAATACCTGGAACCCGGATCAGAAGGATTGGATGTTGCGATGACCGTTCGCAATGGTAATTTCCATGCTTCCTGCTCACCGCTGACGTTGTACTGCCTCTCATTCAGAAGCCGTAAGAGGATGTTAAGAGCTTCCCCAGGTGCCCGGGAAATATCGTCAAGCACACACAGCTCTGCTGTGAGAATGCCTCCTGGCCGTGTTAAGCTGCGGACCAGTTCTCCCCCGTCCGCTTGGGGCTCCCGAACAATCACAGCATCACCAATAAGCTCATGGAGCTTGGTATCCCGATGCATCTGGTAAAAGAAAAAAGACAGGCCCGTGGATTTCGCAGCTGTCTCCGCAAGCATGGTTTTTGCCACACCCGGCGGACCTTCTATATACACGTGTTCTGAGGCAATAAGAGCTAGCAGAACTGCTTCCTTCCCGGCTTGCTGACCAACTATTTGCTGATCCATAGCTTTGCGCACCTGCTGTAGAGCGCAGAGACATTTGGACGACCGACGTGCCATGATACTAAGATGCGAGAACCTGAGAGCTGCCTCGGTGCTTTAGAAGGCATGTTACCGGCTTTTCATCTCAAAAGCACGAGAATACTAGAGTTACTAGAGTCCTAAAGTCAAAACCCTTATGCAACTTGATGCAACCTTGAAAGATGTTTGAGCTGCTTGACAGGTGCAGCTGCATGCGTGCACTTGTCGTCAGACGCAAGACCCTCCTGACCCTCCGCTCTTCAAGATGGAAGTCTGGGGCAGAAGCCTTGATTGACGCCAGCATAACGATGACGAAAATAAGCAGCCCCAGGCAAACAAGGCCGCAGCCCCTGAGCTCGAGACATGCCACAGTCGCACAGTCGAAACAAGGCAGCTTTGAGGACTCAGGACTCAGGACCCAGCATAAGGGCAATTTTGCCAGCAGATTCCCCCATGGCAGAAAAACCTTTCGCCACTAGCAACTGAATTAGGACTTGAGCCAGCTGGCACAACAAAAACCAGCAAAACGTGGGAACCCCATCTTGCACATCAGCCGCCCATGCCCGGGAAGACAATGACAACAAGAACTCAAAAAAACTAACCCCCGACCGAGCTACTTGTCCATCATCACCCCCGGGCTAGCTGTTCCAGGTATGGGGCTAGAATACACATGCATGGTGCTCAGGAAACTTCACTCCTGAGTTAATTGCTTTCTCGTCCCGGCGTAAGAAGGAATTAACTCCCGAGTTGATTGTTATCTTGGTCAGCACTCCGCACCTCCCGTCAGAATCCAGAGATTCTGTCTGGTGTCCGGAAACACTTGAACCCAGAAGGTGCCCCAGGTGCCCCCCCCCATTCTTGTTTTGGGCCGTAACCATTCAACTCCTGAGTTAGATGCTGCCTCGGGTCGAAAGCTCCCGAGTCAATTGTTTCTCGGTGTTTTGCGGAGGAGACAATCAACCCCGGGGTGGACTCTTCATTGTCTCGGTCTGAAGGGAGGAGCAGGCAATCTGGCAAGCCATCGCTCGGGACATAAGTTTAAATCAAGACTTAGTTCCCCTCAGAACACCATGAAATCCAGAGTTGGTTGTCTCCGTCCCACACCCTAGGAAACAAGTAATCCTGAACTCCGGAGTTAATGTTTTGAAGCACTGAGAATCATCATCAACGCAGGAGTCAACTAAGTTCAATGGGGTGAGGCTAGGGAAAGAGGAAAAATGGACTCGGGAGAACAATTACATTCTGACCTAATGCTCCTCAGAAGAGGTTAAACAACTCCAGAGCAACCAACTATTAAATCGGTAGGTGCTGTCTTAAACCTCTTGTTTACATTGCTAGTTCATGCCCCGTGCACGGTATCATGGTATGGGGGCATATGGGGGTAGTTCACATCAGCCAGGGCTTGCCACTCAATGAGCTCTCCAAAAATGATTTTGCAATGCGCATTGCAGCACCATTGCATATCTACAACTGACAGCAAATCAGAAACCAAAGCAGCAGCGTTAGGTGAGCCAGTAAGCTGCTTGTGAAGGCTTGCACAGGTTCGGTCAACAACCTCTGCTTGGTTGTGCTGTCCATGTGCTTCACGTGTCGATTGATTGAGATGGTTGTTTCTAGGCCCAAGCTCTCACGCCACTCCAACTCCAAACGCCTGATGCCAGGCGTACCAGGAATCAAAGCAAAGAAGTGCAGAGAAGAGCAGAGCTAACATCGTCAAGGCAGTGCCGGCGGCGCCTGTTCCGCGAAATCTGGGTTGCCAGTTTCGCGCTTCTTCTCATAGCCTTAGCAAATAATGGGAACTGAAGTACTTCCCTGAAAGTGACGGGGGGAGCAGCCACAGTCCCATCAGCCAGAGTTGCGGACCATGGTATGGGAACTCATCGCGATCAATCCTCATCTCCCAACATGTCTTCTAACAACTAGTTGACCTCATGTGAAAGACCAGATTGCTCGCATGGATTAGTGCAGCGAGCTTGTGACGGAAGAACCACGCTCCTGATTGGAGGCGAGTCCTCGCCTTTGACCCACATTCTTTTCCAATACTCCTGCCAGCAGTGCGCAGGGCACACCGGCACATGGCAAAGCCCAACAAATGGATGATCTTTTGTACCTGCGGTGTGGCCTCTCGTTTCTTCGCACCTGCCGGGGCGTTGTCGACCATCTGCTGGAGGAGGCTCCGCAGATTCTCCAAGCACCTGAATTCACGCTGCTGCAATGATCATGTGGCTGAAAGTGCTGGCTGCGACCATGTGTTAGACATGTGCTGGCTCAAAAAAAGAGAGGTTGCAACTGCCATCGGACAGCCGGGTACATGCACCATGACATCCTTCTGCACAACCAAATGGTGTGTGCGCTTCTTGTTTCCTCCTTGTGTCCAGATTGGCGAGATGCGGCGTGAGCGGTCAAGAAGCCTGGAAAGAAGTGCTGTTTCAGACTCGACATGTCGAGTGTCACCACGAGCATACAGGCTATCGAATCGGGCGGAGGCTTGGAAAAGGCCATGGCGCAGGCGGTACAGCCGAGTATGAAAGTCAACAGATTTGTTGTGCTGAGGACGTGCGTGGTTGAGCGAATTGCAAGAAGGAGATAAGGCCCGATAGGAGAAGGATCGATCAGAAGAGGCGATAGCCGAGGCAAGAACAGCAGCTGTGGCAAACACACGCAACAGCTGCGGCGTTCAAAATGAACGTGTGTAGTCGACGTTGAACAACACTTCCTCAACCGCCCGGCGTTATTTCCCATAAACAGGCTCCGAAAACTAATTCACTTAAGGACGAAGACAGGGCAGCATGCTGCAAAAAGAGGCGACATAGCCCGTTGAAGAAAGGGAGGATAGGAAGCCATGGCCACACTGGGGGACGAGGCTGAAGCGGGACGGGGAACAGGCATGCGGAGCGACCGCTGGGGGCGTCCCCGTAACGCATGGCACAGTAAGCGGAAAGGATCCTTATCCCATGTCTTCTCTGGACCTCCACCCCTTTCATCCCTGTGGTGTCATAAGATCCGGTCGAGATGACCTGGACAGAGTCATGCTCGTCAATAGGGCCATATAGGGCTCTCTGACTCTAGGAGGGGGTTGCGCTGTGTTTGCGTCAGGTTTGGTGCGCCACTGCGAGTGGACTGGAGCAATTGACTGAGCTGTGAACAAACCAAGCCAACCAATGCAAGATAATGCAAGACTTGCCTCTGCAAACGGAACAACCTTCACCTTCAAAGCTTCCACTCTACAAAAGCCAATTATCGCAGCCGTAGAATCGCCTCTGCTACTCCATGCTCAGTCCTGTTCTTGTGATGTCCCTCCGATGGATACCCAGCTGCTCAGGCAGCGGCTTTTCCTTCCCTTGCGAGATTTTCCCAAATTCTGCCCCAACCTGATGGAAGCAGACACATATCAGGTGTCACATTGTGCCGCCGTCGCCGTCTTTGCATAAGGCTGCAGCATACATTTCTTCATTGTTTCTGATCTCCACCATGCCTTACACTCGAGGCTGCAAAGTTGACACTCAGCAGCCTGACATCTTCACTAGGAACTGCCATGAACTGCGTACCTCCCTCCGTCCAGTCTTTAATGGCTGCTTCGACATCTGTCACCTCTGCTGAGGCATCAATCTCCGGCACTGTGTGCACAGTCACCGTTCGCACAGGCATCTGGCTAGAGCAGGCTCTCTTGCCAGTCTGTGAATCGGACGAGGGTTCCAGACTTCGGTGAAGGCATCAATTTCCTGACTCGAATGCTGCCACATGCTGCCACTTCCTGCCACATGCTGAAACCTAGAGTTTGCTGAGGGTCTGCCTCGCATGCGCAGCAGAATCGGACAGGGCGCAAAGCAGGTGCCATGAGTGCATGTCTACACACGGGCCAGAAAAGTGCGGATGCACTGCTTGCCTGGGGCCAAGGATTTTGCCCATCTTGGCCAACGCTGGCATCATCGCTGGCTTTGCAAGCAGTACCTCACCCGCTGAGTGGAAGAGGGTAAATCCAAACAACAGCTCGCGTATTGCTTGTGCTATGCGCACGTCGAAAGGGAACTCCTCATTGGTGATGTGGTCTTGGAGAGTCTGGCCGCGACGATCTATCGACCCAACACGATGCAGGGGTCTGACCAAGAGAGGCCTTGCCCGCAACGGAGGCACCCATCTCCAAGGCCTCTCTGCGCTTGTTTGAATAGAAAAGGAATGAGAGCCGGGGAAGAGAAAAAAAAAAAGCTGGCTCTTTGACATCTTTAAACACCTGTAAACGCACTGGCACTGCACACACACACACACACGAGAGATCCCCGGCCTGCTCCTCTTCAGCGGGTGGGCAAAACACAGCAACCCTTTTTTGTTGGCCCAATCCATTCGGTAGCCTCACCTTCATCCTCAATATGAGACTCTGTGACGCACGGGACAACTTTCACGACTGTCACGGTTGCTGCAGGTGCAAAATCGAACCATCAGAGATGCCTGTGTGCTGTGCATCAGCATTTGCTAAACTTTGTACTTCTCGTACCACGAGCATGGCAAAGCAACCAAAGCACTGAGTCAAGGACCGAATCTGCTGATCGGGGTACTTCGAATCTAAGCCCATGAACATGGAAACCCTGGGCCGAGGGCGCACATTTATGCATGTGCACACATGCATAGCTATCAGTATGACTAGGAGACTAGAAGCACACTCTGCATTAGTGTAGGTTTACAAAATCATAAAAATATGCACACGCAGCTGATACCTTTAGAGTTTGTTCAACTTGATGCATTTCTCTACCAGATAACCTGAATGAAATGTACGGTCTCCTTGCTTCAACATCAGAGATGTCTCAAAATGAAGGTTCTTACTTCATATGGGAACATGTTCGCATGCATTGCACACGTTGACACAGCCAGTCCAAACATGACGACAGCAAACCGAACGTTGCCTTTCCTGACATTCTTGTGCTCGTGATGTCGTACCCCGAAGTTCGCACCCCTACACCGGTTCATGTAGCTTTCTCATTTAGTTTTCTCAGTACAGCTCCTGTATGCGCAAAGGGGCCCAAAAATATACCACCATCAAAGCCAAGGTCGAATCTCTGGATATCACTGCCCGGCTTGGCCCACTAAGGCCACGACTCCACAGTAGGATCAATGCTGTCATTGGAGAGTGACTCATAGAAGCTGAAAAGAATGTCAACGGCCTCGAACACATTTTGCGCAGAGTTTACCTTCGAAGCTGCGCCAACCAGGGCACCGGCCTGTGCCAGGGAGTAGTACCTTCGGCGCAAGGGTACATTCGGATACATGAAATCTGTCACACCCACGGTCACCCACGACTTCCCAAAAGTTCCAGTTGCGGGAGGCTGGCCCAAATCTGTTGTACCGCGGAGCAGTGCCATCTTCGTTGAAGTACATCTTCAAATAGCGAGGACCTTTCCCAAAGGGTTGAACCCCATCCACCCCAGCCCCTTGTGCAAGATCCGCACGAACCGCTCACTTCTGCAAAAACCGGCAGTAAAGCGCTTTGCTGGGGAGGATGCTGCGATTCCACAGGGTTCTGGGCTTCATGGCCCTGAGAGGATTTTGAGTATTGGAGAGCAGTCACAACAGATTGGAACAGTTGGAACATGCTGGTACACGTTCGTTACACGTTCGTACATTGCGAGGACATCCAAAATCTCCGAGGCGGGGTCATCCAGAAGTCGTAAGTCAGCCATTTCGGGAGGGACTCGACGGATGTCTCATCCCAGTCGTCATCGTCTGGCACAAGACATGTGCAGGGGATTCTTGACAAGTAAAGGGAAGTCATAAACATCCGCTGCCGTTCCAGCAGGGAGAGTATAGTCGGAAGGGGAGCTGCAAGCCTTCTTCCTCATCCTCGTCCTCCTCATCCTCCTCCTCACCCGGCTTCGGCGGCATCTTCTCATCTGCGCATTCAGACTGGGTTGCTGTACTTTGGACGGAGGAAAGCTAAAACGACTCAAGTTCTAAACAGTCGGCCTTTCCAGCCTGGCAACCAGCCTGGCTGAGTGCACGGATACCGACGCAAAGACAAAGAACACACACACACACCCACACCCACACCCACCCACCCACACACACACACACACACACACACACACACACACAGAGAGTTGCACAACACACACACACACACAACGAATATAAACAACAAAGTATATATACATATATAACAAAAGAAGTAAAATATGCATATATATATACATATATATACAAATCTAACTTTCAGTAGCAGTGTAAATACAAGCACGAATACACATGCAAACATAAACATAACACATAACACATAGCACATAAACATAGAACAGAAAAAACATTTAAAAACAAAAACACGAATACACATCCAAACATAAACATAACGCATCACACACACATAACGCATCACGCATAGCGCATAAACATAGACCAGAAAATAAACATATATGTACCTCCAAATACAAGCGTAGACCGATATTCGATACTTTTTTTGTATTTTAACTATATGCACACACCTGCACACACGCACGATGCACTTACGCACACACGCACCAATCTAAAGGGAGATTTCTAGAATGAATCAAAGCATTGCAGGCATGTTTCTGGGTCGCAAGGAACTGCGACGGTCCAGGCTTTCATTTCCCACATAATTAACAACAGACCACCCGCAACTAAGTATGAGCTCACAGCGCAACCTGATGGAATCTACAATGCACCTTTGCTGACAAACACCTTCGGCCGCAGAAACTCATACCCGCTCTGAGCGACGGGCGCGGTGCTCTCTTGAGAAACCTTTCAAACTCAAAGGTCGTGTGCCTTTGTCACACTATTCTTCATCAAACATGCTGACGTTCTTTCAAGCCCTTGGAGCATGCCATCAAAGCCGAAACTGTGATACACATGAAAAAATGACGACCCACGCAAGCAAGCAGGGTCTCCTGATGCCGTGGAGAGCCGTCCTGAAAGTTCCACACATGCTATGCAGGGCAGAAAATCCTAAATGTTAATTGTTGCATCAGGGCGACAGAAGAAGCTGCGGGGCTTCTGCATGGCCCACTACTAAACTACTAAAATACTAGCCGTGCTTCTCAGCTTGAAGCAGACATGTCACGTCATGCATTGTCATTCCATGCCAGCCTCGACTGTCTGCCAGTCCAAAATGCCTCGAACGATGACAACAACCCGAATGTTTTACAGCGACATGTCCGACAGTTGCACGTGAAGTCATCTGGAGCATCATCCCAAAAATCTTACAACACACTCTCCAAGGCGTGCACCCTGACAGAGCGCGATCGCGAAGTGGAGAGACGCCTGGTTCAAAGCCCTCTGTCGCAAATCTGTTGGATCAAACGTCACACTGCCGCCAAAAAATGGTCACGAAGCCCATGCAAGACGACAGCTGTGAGACAATCCATGGAGCTCCTCACCAACAGAGCAGCTCCGACAAAAGCGGCCACCTCGTTGCGCAGCCCCAAACGCCCTCATCATCTTGCACGCATGTAGCTCAACCTATTATAGCTGTATGGTCATTCTGAGATGAAGACGACGCATACACATCCATTCGAAGAATCAAGCCCGTTCTCCTGTGCCGCGCAGCTACATCGATCAATTCTTCGCCCAAGCATGGAAGCTGCCTGCACACGAAAATTGGACACGCCCCGGCTGGTAACCAAATGACCTCCAACTCATGCAGTCAGTGTTTTTGTCACCGGCAACAAATCCAAATAACGGCAAGTCGGCGTTGCTGGCCTAATGTGCCGAGTTGCGTTTCAGGCCTGGGAGACGCCACTCTCTGAAACATATAGCGGAAGCCACTCCGCGTCATCCCATTCTTGCTGAGCCAGCGACAAGGGTTTCAGCAATGGCCCCCCTTCTTTCACATGCACAGAACACACAACTCGGCGAGCCTGACCCCGTGAAAATCACAGTGCGTCCTTGTATGGCAAAAGCCGCCATGAGGCTCACCTGATTGCTTCTCATCTGGGTGAAAAAGAACATGCCCTTGCATGGTTTCAACAACAGCTCAAGCAAATGCCTGCTGCAAAGCAAGAGCGGGACTTCCGTGCTTGAGGAACAGTCGCGGAGTTCACATGCTTGCAAATTCGATCAGGGTAAAATGTCAGAAACCGTTGCCGGTCAGACCCCAACAATGAAAAATCACAGTGAACATCCCTTCATCCCTTCATGTTGCTCAAGTCAAAAAAGGGGAAACTTTTTGAGACTTTGCAGCCGGTGCCAAGTGCCAAAAAAAAACCATCAAGACGTAAGGCGGTCCATGTTACTTGAAAAGGCCGTGTAGAGCGAGGGGCGACACCCGAGTGCGAAAACCTGCATGTCACAGCTGTTTGTCAATCCCCATACAAAAGACCGGATGGGGTTGGGCATCCCAGAAACTCCAGACTTTTTGGTCCTACATTGCAATGTGCATGCGAAATACAAAGCCACACTTGGATTGTTGCTGCACACCTGACAATTCCACCACAAACAATAGACACAACAACACTTGCATTTGCGATTCGAACAAGTTACGGGGACAGATGTAGCCATTTGTTGTGAGTCGAATAGGCGGCGGTGTGCGATTGCCAAGACAAAAGAAAGGGGAGCCGAAGAAGTCCTGGCTTTACACATTGGGCATCAGCAGGGGGCGTATCCTGAGTTATGTTCCTGCTGGCGTCACTTCTCCCAGCATTGTTGCAAGCCGCGGCTGGATTTCCAAGGCTTCCCATGGGCACACGTCCAAATGACTGTCTGCTTCCAAGCTTGTGATGCTAAAGGGCATCCTTGACTGAAGGCGTCTGCAGGATCTTTCCCAGAACGTAACGAGGCTAAATTTCCCAACGCACACATGAAAAGAACAGAACTAACAACCCATCCGAATCCCGGATATCAAAGGCAAACTTCATGAGAATCGATGCACGGCATCCTTGAAATCACGGCGTTAAAAAATTGCACACACAGCTTGCACACGAGCCGCAACTGAGGGAATTCGCACCGAAGTATGTGCGCACATGTAGTCACGAACTTTGGGCACAGGCACACAAGTGATCACAAAGCTCGGCAAATGGAATGCTGTTTCGAATGAAAGGCAAGTTCCTTCCCAAGAGTACAGTACACGAAGGAATCACACCTATATACCATTTTTTAAAACACGCGAGCTGGGAGTCGCAGCCGTCACCACCGACAAATTTCTCAGCGTCTAAGAGAAAACAGAGGAAACTAATTTTACCACAAACAGTATACAAAATAGGCATGCTCTCATTGGAATTATCGGCGTGTTGAGAAAAGCAGGCCATCGGGTTCTATCCTGGGACATAAAAGCATAGCAGTGTGTTCTCCAAGCCATAGAAGAGCTGGGGTGATGTGCAGAAAACGTTTTATTGTGCCGGAGTGTCGACATAAAGGTGTTGCAAATCCGTATGGGAAAGGAGAATCTGATTGCAGATGGTCCTATCCTTGCTTGGCTCCCGTGAATCATGAAGCCGTCCAATGGGCCTTCGGTCCGTAGATGCATCGGGAGATAATCGTTTGTCGTCATCGGCAAACGACGTGGCGCTGGGCACAACGGTTGACTCAACCCCAGCAGTGCGTCAGCCAGATCACACTGCGTCTGTAAGTCTGGCTCGGCCTGGTAGGCCGGGGCGTACAGCACTGCTACCCTGGGTACTACGACCCGGTCCTTCGGAGGTCTCGCGGCTTCCGCGGTCGCTTGTACTGTGTCAGCAACAAGCGCCTCGCCCCGACTCGCGCGTTCGCTCCTCCAGCCTTTCCAGCATCTTCTTCTCCTGCTCTTGGGGCACAGAGGTCGTGTCGTGCTCAGCCCATCGGCCAAAAGCATGCTTCAGCCTGAGAGGTTCCGGATCTCGCTCTCGTCGGCGGTGAGCTCGGAGCAAGTCCGGAAGCTGACAGGATCAACCTGGTCGAGGGGCTTATCCTGCAGTCGCACGATGTTCGCATGGTCTGTGATGTACCTACATCACCACGGGGATCGACCCAAACAGCGCGCGGAATTTCCGCCGGCATCGCAGCTGCGCGTGCTGCTCTTGCCTGAACGGGTGCCACAAGGTCTGCGCCAGCGTCAAGCTTTCCGCATGATTTATTCCTTCGGGTTTCTCCGCAAACAATGGCACCGATTTTAGACAGGGATGTGGAGGGTGGGAAAGAAAAATTTAAAGACTTGCGCCAAAATGGCCACCATACAAAGAGAATCCAAAAGAGATCATGAGGGGCATGCAATTCATGTTTGCGAATTTTGGGGAAACAAAAATTTCAAAACCCGGGAATAAAAACTCATCCAACCTACGGTTGGAGTTCCGTCTTATTCCTTCGGGTTTCTCCGCAAACAATGATATTAGTAAAGACAACGAGAGATTCCCATCCGATTCCAAATCAAGGCAATAAAGAACTGTACAAAACAAAAA